AATGAAAGAAGCTGTTAAAGTAGTAGGATTAAGAATTAATAAGAAAAAAACAAAACTCAACGATACTCCAAAGTAGAACCAAAACCATGACTAGAAAGATTACGGAGGACCAAGTCAACAGTATGTCCCCGGATCGAGTTGCAAAGAGGAAAAAAAATTTTTATCATTGAATTTTCAAACTTATCTCAACATAAATAATGCGTCGGATATGTTCAAACCACTAAATCGCAAGGATTTTATACTCTAACTATAGAAGTTAACTAATTATTCCCATTTTTATATTATCATTTGACCTTTTTTCTAAACTAAAAATTTTTCAAAGTTCACTGATATGTAACTATAGAAGAGTGATGTAAATCCAAATTCTACACTCTCTAGACGAAGTCAACATTTCAAAAAAGTAAATGTGTGGTGTGCTATAACATATCACGGGGTAATTGGGCCATATTTCTTCGACGGAAATGTAAATCAACAGAAATATTTGGATATGTTACAAAATTATTTTAATGAACAACTTAATGAATTACCCTTAAATTTTATACGGTCAATGTACTTTCAGCGAGACGGTTGCCTAGCTCACCAGCACACATTGTGACGGAATGGTCCTATTTTATGACCAGCACATAGTCCTGATCTTAAAATTATGGATTTTTATTTTTGGGGACGATTGATACAAATTGTTTACAGTGAACCATTACAAGGAGATGCAGAACTATTAAAACTAAGAATAATTAATGCGATAGAATCTCTACCACTGACGGAATTTCGTAATTCTCGCAAAGAATTTAGACCTTGTCTTCAAATGTGTGCCGAATAGTTGATTTGTTCACTTACAAACTTACATAGTGTGTTATTACATACATTTACATTTAAAATATTTTATTCAATTATTTAGCCATATTTTAATTTGATTTGTCCGTATATTTTTCAATAACATAAGTTGTAACTTTTATGGTTTCTATGGTTACATACCATAAATTGAACTTGAAAATTTTTCAATTTAGAAAACAGTCCAATTTTTCTATAAAAATGGGAATAATTAGTTAACTTCTATAGTTAAAGTATAAAATTCGTGCGATTTAGTGGTTTGAACATATCCATTATTAATTAATTATTAATGCAACATATCCACGCATTAATGCAATAAGTTTGAAAATCAGTAATAAAAATTTTTTTCCTCTTTGTAACTCGATCCGGGGACATACTGTATATTGCATAGAACTAATAAGCCTTGGCGGAAAAGGAGGTTCGAAGGAGAAGTATATTAGACAGAGCATATTTTGTTCTTACAAACATATTCATGTCAAGAACCGCAAGAACATTAAAATTAGAGTATAGAAAACCATATCATTTATTGGATTTTAGCTCAAAAACAAACAAACGTTATTGATATATTTGAGAGAAATCTCATGAGGAGAATTTTAGAATCAATTCAAGAAAACAGCAAGTGCAAATGTCAATATAATTATTAATTCTATCACCACCTCAAGGATCCAGAGTTATTCAATTTCACCAGAATCCAAAGACTACAATGAGTGACTTATGTTTCGAGGATAAAAGAAGCAAGACTCCCTAGATTCTAGAGTGCTGATAAACAGAAAAATCCAAAGAGTGACACCGAAAGGAAGGCCACCGAGACGATATTGATGTAAAAGAAATACTAGAATGCAGGACTTAGAAGAGAGAAAAAAAGGAGCTCAGAGTTTGACAACGGACTGCAGCGTGGTAGGAGAAGCCAATAAAATAGTTCTTCAATATTAGATGTTTTTATATTAAAGTTTGATAATAAATCTGTTACTCAACATGAGTAATGTCATTAGTATCATCAAGAATAATCAAGTAATGTTTATTCTTTATTATTTTGTCAACAATTTTAGTCTTCACCTTCCGATGTTGCAACATAGGCGTCGCAACTCACTCGAATCTGACAGATATTAATTTTTCTCTGACCTGTGAAGGTAGTTTTTCCCAACTATTTCTCCAACACTACATTTTTTGTTCAATTTAAGTGTGGGCCAGTAGCAACAATCGGCATTCTTTATTAGTGGATAAATCGCTCACAAGGAAAAAAATCAACTTTAACTTATTTGAACCTTTTAATATCTTAGTTTGGTCTACATCAATAATTGTTAGTGGCCACAATCTTTGATCATTTAGAGAATTTTGAGGATTCTTGACATAAATTCCTCTTCCTTGATTTTTCCTGTTGACCTTTTTCAATCTTACGCTTGATTTGAAATTATTTTCTCAATTCCCAAATCTTTGTGTTTATTTCAGCTTCTCTACCCTTCTATCTACCATTCTCCTTCCTCTTTTGCAAACAATACCAAAATCGGATGCATAAGTAACTTCTTCAAATCTCTCTCTCTATGTTTCCAGATTCTCCAACTTTGATGGTCTCCTACGAACTGATCTTGGGTATCACTGTAAGTATCAATGATCCAGATGACCTCGTATCGGATAAAGTTTAACTCGTAATGTATCATTTACACCGTCAGAAGTTTATACTTGTCCTCATAGATGAACTTGAACCTTGGTAGTTGATATCATTGATAACTGATCAAGTAATTATAGTTGTATCATAACTTTATTTAATTATGACCTACTTTTACCATCGCCTCTTAATAAATTAATCCGATAGATAAATCCAGAACGAATTTAAAAGAACGACGAATGAAAATATTCTATTTATGATAAACTTTAGGTTGTTAAATTTTTTGTGGAAATTTCCTTATCGTTTCATTGTTGAATTGGAGCAGATGAATATTACCTGACGTTTTAATTTAATCAGAACATGAAGCTCATTCATTTAGAATCATAATAAAGTTGTGTCGTCTGTTGGAAGTAATATCACCAAACAACTTTGTCCGTTATAACACGGTTGCTTAATCTGTAAAAATTTATAAATAGATCGGGTAGTAAAAAACTGGACTTGATCAACATCGTTTTTGAAAGCCACGTTTATAAAAGCTTTTTTATTTAGTTTACATCTTTATTTAATATCGTTAAATATTACGTTATTCGTCTCTAAACAACTAGCTAGAACCGCCTTATTATTCAATTGATCAAATATAAATATTATTCATTTGACTCATCAACTTTAGATGATTATTGTGTTCGTTTGCGTGTTAATTTAGTATTAAAGAAATGGAAGAGTTATCGATCTTAGATCATAAATAGAAATATATCATATATAGAAAAATATATATAATATAAAATAAATAAGTGTGTTCGTATATCGATTCTGGGAAATATTTACAAAATAAAATTATTAAGGGAGAAAATAAAAAATGTTAAATATTTTTGTCGAGAATCAAAAAATAAAAAGACGAAAACATAATGTAAAATAAGCATGTAACAATAATATGAAGTATTGTAAATTCGTTTCTTATTGTGCGTGAAAACGTTTATTCTATTCGTTCTGAGAGAAATACGCAAGAGAATCTTCGCAACAGACGCACTTAATCAGCTTGAAAAAACATTTAACTAATTCTGTTCCTGAGAGATTTGTGCAAATGTAATAAATAAATAATCTTATGATTCGCCGAAAGAAGATCGTTTGTAGTAAATTTGTTGTAAGTAAATGTTTCGGTTGTATTACGAGCCGCGATAACAATCCTCTCATTTGTTTTCTTCTTATAAAAAAAGTAAACTATAGGTGGAATTCATCAATAATTCTATTTAATAAATTTTAAATGAACGTCGGCGAAATTGTCATTTGAAAGAATGTATTATTTTTTAAAATCCTGAAAGAAACGCTATGAGAGATAAAAGTTTTTATTGGTATATTTAAACAAATCAATAAAATAATAGGTCAACCAAAGTTGTTTGAATATTAATAAAACTAACGATGAAAATGATTTATTTTATTTTAAATTCGGTGCGACATGTTTCGGAATTATCTTATTCCTTCATCGGGCACGACGTCAAAGTTGAGGAGTTAAAAATATAAGTTGCTTCGTTAAATGAATTAAGGACATATCAATAGAATAAGTTGTATAAGGTTTCAAGAAGGATTCTTCAAAGAATTTCTCTTTCTAAAAATCTACCAATCTACAAGTTTATGAAATCTGACACACATGATTTATCGTTAAAAAAACTCGTTCCTTTTAAAAATTATCATAACTATATATAATAATGTATAATATTATAATTATATAATAAATAATAATATATAACTAGTACATAATATCATAACTATATAATTATCATAATTATCAAAGTTGTTTAGCTAAATGTTCAAGTCATATATTTTCTAAATTAAATTATATCAATCAATTAAACGTTTTCTTATTCTTTTATCTTATCTCTTTTAGTTGTTGGAAAGTGTTTAGCATTTTATATAGTAAAATACTAGAGTATTTAGTATTTTAAATACTTTAGTACTGAAATATTACAACTTATTATGCCCATCAAACTTAACTTTATTAAATAAAAAAATACGACGGCATGGTATACAAAAAATTGTTAATCAGAAATCGTAAACAATTAATCATGCACTATCTATCTACGTTGCTAGAACTTGTATTCAATCAATATTCATATTACCTCAACTTGCGAGAGAACGCCAAACTTTACTAAATAATTTATTACTTCTACTGAAATATTAATTACTTCACCGTTTTGCAGCTGGTACATATCTGTAATACTCCATTAATTTATTATTTAAGGAAACATCCGTAATAAATTAAACAGTAAAAAAGAAAAAACAACGAATAAAAAAAAACATTTTAAAATCAATACTGAAACATCATTTTCTCTCCTATAAATAACGCCGAAAATGGTTTTTTGATTGCAATTGTGCCATTCTTTGTTTCGACATCGCAAGCTTTTTAGAAACCTTAATGGGATGTCCGCATTGAAAATATTTCGATTTCAAACATCAATAACACTTATGAGCAATCAGACATTGTTACAATTTTTTTCTCCTTTAATCATACTTCTCGATCTAACATGATATAGCCAAATTTTAACAAGAAAATAACATATATCTTACTCACCAATTCCTCCTCTAATAAAACTCCTGGCATAGTTAAAAGATCTCGTTCTGGGAAAAAAGTTCCTGGAGCTGCTGTCGATGCTGATATTAAACATTTTCTCGTACGCTCGCTCGGAATCCAAGCATCTCTTCTTCTATCGGCTTCCGAACCAACCGCAACTCTTGGACTATAACCATCCTATATGAAAACAAATAGAAAAATATATTTAAACAAATCACATAGGGGTTCAAAAGTCATTTTGTAAGAAACTAAGTTAATAAATAATCTGTTAAAATCTCTACAGTTATAATCGTTTTATATTTAAAAAAATAACCAGTTATAGACTATCATAAATATCATAATAAAAACAACTAAACCATTTTAACATCTTTGTGTCGCGATATGATAAATAGTGTTAAACAACTCTATTATAAATAATAAAGAAGATTCGGGAATTTTTCTTGAATTAGAAGAATTAATATACCTGGGAATGGAGTGTAATAATTTTAAGATTATTAAAGATTTCATATGAAAATCATGTTTGGAGCTTCTAATTGCGGATGCCTCAGATCATCAAAAACAGATTTTCTTTATCTGATTTAATTCCTAAACGCGAAAAGGTGTCATTCAAGCATAAAGGGTACTATTTTAAACAATGAGTGTTTGATGGAAACTATGAATGTGATGGACTTTATTTATTATTAAGCTCAATTCCTATATACTCGCTTTTATCAATACCAACAAAGCGTTGTCACCGCCGATTGCCCACCCACTCGAGAACAGTGAAACGCGAAACGTCATTATAAAATATCGATTTTTTATTTTGTGCTTTAAAAAAACGTATTGTTTCAAAAAACAGTTTGATCAACAGAACATTATTTTAATGTTATTACCAAATAAAAGACAAAGGGAGATCTTCATTTCCTTGTGGATTACCTTCTCGTTTTGTATAATTGCAGTTTTCTTTACATACTAGATGTTAGGTATCAGTAGGGTAATCCATCATTACCTACGTTTGTAGTTGTATGGTGTATTGCTCTATTTTGTAGATATCATGTCTATTGTTTTCTCTTTTCTAGTTCTGACAATCTACTTTCGCCTCCGTTCCAGCGAAATGAAGACAATCGGGAGTGCACCAGTTACTATGTATAATTCCAGAAAATAGAATCGTATCGGAAAAATCCCCAACTTAGGTCACGCTGCCATACACACAAGAATAGTGTATATTTTCCTTTTAAAGCTATAGGCACACCAGTGTTTAAAATTAAAATTAATAAATATGGTATTACTAATGTGCTCTTATCTTGTTGCCAAATTTGCTTCTCAAAGTTATCTTTGACAAGCACATCGAACTATTTAATAGCCGGGAAGACAATTTCGTTATTGGTTATCTACAGAGGAGCTGGATTCTTGTTAAGAGGATGAGATGACCCTAAAATTACTGTGTCAATTTCTATTTCTAATGCAGGAAAATCGTTGACTAGGACAAAGGTGTAAATATAATATACAGAGTGATTCTCAACCTGTACGCATAAACTTGGGCATTTATTCCTCACGACAAATAATGGCTAATAGATGAAAAAAATTGTAGTAAAAGATTTTTGATTTCCTAGATATCCGATATATGCGGAGACATCTAGATAAGGTGCTTCCCGGAAGATGGACAGGTCGAGATAGTCTATTAGCCTGGCCATCTCGATCACCCAACCTCAATCCTCTTGATTTTTTGTTTTGGGATCACTTAAAAAGCATAGTGTACGTCACCGAAGTTAATACTGAGCAAAGATTTCGAAATCAGATACAAACTGCTGCCGAGACAATCCGCCAACACCCTGGTTTAGGCCGCGCTATCATATCATCTCCAAAGCGTACAGTCTTTCCTTCTAGAAATCATCTTACACAGCAACACCAAACTACTCTCATCTGTTTAGAACTGATACGACTATACTTATTTCATCTTCTGCAAAAAAAGTTTACATACATTTGAGTGGGTTGTTTGCTCATGTCCTCCTGATTGCAAGAGTTGCCTACACAAATGATGCATGGCGAAATTTAGTAACGAAATGAAGAATGACATGTACAATGTTGACGAAAATGAATCAAAGAATCAGATAGAACTCCGGCGAAAAAGCGTCAGGCAGCCTTCCTCTGTTTCGTTCATCTAACCAAAAAGTTCGACAAAGAGAAGAATTAGAACAGGGCAAACATTACAAAGTATAAAATCAAGATTGAGTGCTATGCAGATCATGCCGTAATCTTGGCTGATGGCATACAGTGGTTAACACAGGCATTTAACGTTGCAGACGGATTCAGCGAACCCAATTGTGTATACAAAATATTTGAAACAACTTGGAACACTTGCTTTGATGTCATTTTAAAATCTTATATGTATTCTTGATTTGAAAGTAAATTTCATGGGTATCTAGGAAACTAAAAAACTTTTGCTAAAATTTTTTTCACCTATTACTCATTATTTGTCATCAGGAATAAATCCCCAAGTTTATGCGTATAAGTTGAGAACCACCCTGTATACCAAAGCTCCGCACACACCATTTTACTTCGTCAACCTTTTCTGGTGTATGATGATCGCCTAAATGAAAATCCAGTTTTAGTGTCAGCAAAATATCGTTCCTTTGTGCCATNAGGAATAAATCCCCAAGTTTATGCGTATAAGTTGAGAACCACCCTGTATACCAAAGCTCCGCACACACCATTTTACTTCGTCAACCTTTTCTGGTGTATGATGATCGCCTAAATGAAAATCCAGTTTTAGTGTCAGCGGAATTTCGCCCCTTTGTGCCATATGACAGGAGCTGTGATGAACGATTTGGCAGTGTCTAAACGTTCTTTTTCAGTAATTGGAGGAATCTGAGAGGAGTTTTCCTCAAATTGTCCATTATTTACTGAGTACATCGGGAGTGAAGCGTTTACAACAACATGTTAATAACGAAAGCATCCTCGTTCAGTTTTCAACGAATGCCCGTTTTAGTATATATGGTTAGCACAGTGATTTTGAAACTAATAAACAAGTAGTTGCTTCCTATGTAATTTTTCAAGACTTACCGATGATGTTTGATACGATTAGTCAGTTTTTTAAAGTGAATTCTCTCCTTTCCCCATTCGTAAGTCTTTACGTTTACATTCATCGATCTATCAATATTTCCCCCTTAATTTCTCGGGTAAGATCATCCAAATTGTCCAATTTCTTTCGTTTGCTTATTCTCTGATCCTTATTGGATATCTTGAAACTATTCCGGCTCTTTTCGATCCCTATGATGTTCACGTTGATGATAAACAGCATAGATTTTGGTTTAGATCTCGGAGCATCATTTCCATAAGTCTTGATCGCATCACATTCGTCTAAATTACAACTCTAAATAGAGATTACTTAATAAAATTTTGCAATAACTAGGGTTCTATAAGGAAAATCCAGTCTTTCTTTTATAGTTTCTTGTCTTCTGCGTGCAATACATAGGTTGAGAGGGATTTTGTATTGTTTATGGGCTAACGTATTTATTCAATTTATCTAATATCTAGCCTATAAGAGGCTGTGTATTTGTTATAGCTGCCATTTTGATTACTGGGTTTTTTGTAGAGTCTCTTTCAAAATGGTATACGTCCATTTTCGCTAGACACTTCCAGTTTATTGTCCACCCACTTTTTCACGACGAATATTGCCTTATTTGTTCTTGCTTCAATTCAAGGCCTTTACTACTTTTGATTGCTTTTTTCACTTTATTTGTGTAATCAAATCCTCCATCAAAGTCTCAAATTACTGGTACACAGTTTGATCCTCGCTGGACACTCCTTTTTTAATTGCTTGCTGACCTTTGCTTGCCATTAATGTTTGCATGTCCATCCTGAGAGTAGCTTTTGAGAACTTGCTATAATTTTCCTGGAACATTGATCTTTCGGTATGCATTTTAATTTAAGTGTAACTCGCTTTTGACTCTCTGTCAACTTTTATGTTGCAGATAACATTTTCAGGAATTTTCGTTGGAACACACAACGCCTTTTTAATCATTGAATCACGTAGGATGCTAGAGTGTATTGATTGCGTGTATCGAACTCTTATTTCATCGGTCATTGGTCGCTCCGCTTAGCAATTTATTTTTTTAAGTATTTTTTCGCGCACGAAAACGTAAATTTAATTTTATTATTTCAAATTTTTGTGATATTTTTTGCGTACATGCGACAGGCGCGCTGAGATCGATTTGAGAGATATAGTCTTCTGATCCGCTTCGTGTGTGTCGCTTACTGTGCTTACTTATTATTATTGTTAATCACGCTTTGGAAAGCCAGACGCCGCTTAACAGTACGTGATTATTACTTTGATTAATATTCTTATTTTTCACTTGGTTTCGTTGCTTTTGTATTATTTTGTGTTGAGAGAATTATATTTTTTTAAATTCGCTAAATAGCTTTCTTTAAAATTTCGATACCGGTGAGCGGAACTCCTATGACAGTCATTTTTAGTTCATTCTCGGCTTCTATAATTTTAAGCTATCCGAAAAATTAGATTGTGCCAATGAAAAACCTGTATTCTTTAGTGCCTGTTTCCTTACTTAATCGTTTGAAATCCCATTCTACAGATTTTGTGTCAAAAAATCCAAGCACATTTCAAGCGCTGTGGACAACTGATGGTGCTGTCTTTTCGTACTCATTCGTTCGGGATTTTACGACAGTGGTTTTTCAATTTCCTTTGGTATCCAAACGTTTAATTTTGTCAACCTTTACGAGTAGTTGAATCATGAAATACCAGGAGAAGCAGAACAGATGGTATAAAAAATGAAGACAAGATGTGTAAGTTTTGTATGGAAGCTTTTGGAAAGTGTATGAATATTTGGAGTGGCAGGGAGAAATTGATTGAGAAAGTCATGGACGGTGGAAATTGGGAGAACGGAGATGGATGAGGAGGTGATAACAATAAAGAAATGATGGAAGAGGCGAATGGATTTCTTAGAATTTATGAGATAGCAAGATAAATGGAAAAGAAAGACACTGACTGATTACAACAATTTCAACCACTTTTATTAACTAAATGCTATAAATATATTTATGTTGGAAGATGTGGATGATCCTGAGATGAACTGTCTTCTTGTACTCTATCATTTTCACAATGATAATTTTTTTAATAAATTTAAGTATTTAATGGATTCCAAAAAAAAGATAACAAATTTCCTCTGCTCTTCAATATCGTCTAATCTATTTCTGTACAACAAATAATTTGGAAGATGGTAGATTTTAGACCAACACAAATTATCAAAGCACTGAAAGGTTTTTTCAGCGCTCAACAAGCAAACATCGTTTCTTGAGGCAAAGTCTGCCTAATATTATCTATTTCCAACCATATAACTTGATTGTAGTGGAAAAACTCACAATGTGGATGAATGGTATGATAAAGTACTTACTTGTTTAGATCTTCTGCTGTACAACAATTTCTTGGTCTTATTCACCATATCATTGTTTTGTACATTTCGTTTTAGAAGTCTTGGAAGCGAAAACTGCTTGGAAAAAGATTTGTTTTAAATCTGTACATATCAATTTTCTAAAACTAAACATCAAAATTGTAACAATTTAACCATTTTTAACTTTTCAATTTACACATGCGGATTATCACTCCGCGCAATTAAATTGCTAATTTCGCACCATATTTCGTTGGCCAGCTGTTTCAAATAAAAATATTTAAATCAATATAGACATTCGATGTTGATGACAGCCAATAATAACAATTTTAATAAATATTAATATTTGTGAAATGGTGTGAAGCAGACAAATAAACGCAGTACGTCTAAAGACGCATTGCTAAACCCGAAATTTTCTAGTTGTAGGTCTGTTGTATATTTTTATTTACTAAAAGTAGAACTAACGCTAGTCCTAGAACATTCAGGTTTAGCCGTCTTAAGAGACGCATGGCTTTTACTTTATGATGCAAATAGGTTAAAGGCAAATAGATTTTCGAGAAAAAAAATTTGTTGTTAAATTCTCTAAAGTGTATAGCGCGACACGGACTTTGGGGGTGAATTTGACACCGATGGGCACCTCTGAAATTGATGGAATTTTAGGATGATTAGTCCTCCTAAATGAGTTTTTGTTATGAAACATGCTAAAACAAATAACACATAAGGTAATATCGCATTTTTTGATATCGACGTTGATATGCTCTCCTTTTGATGAAATGTCCTTTCTTAACGAGTCTTACACTGTCCAAAATTTTGGATTTTGAGGAAGATGAAACGCTAAATGGTCTGCCCTTCAAAATACTTGTTCCGTGACCAATTTTTAAATATGTCACTGCGATCTGCCTCCTAAAATCTTTGATGGAAATCGATTTCTTTCGACTAATTCTTCTATATAGGAAGACGGAGATTCTTACCCCATAAGAAATGGTACTAGTGTCGCTACAGAATGTTTTTCTAGAAGCCGTGGCTGAGCAACTTGCACTTTTGATTTATGTTCTCTGCTCCATCTTGCAACTGATGCTACTGGTTCTATAGTATCAACATTTGTGTCCATACAAACACATGTGTTATCATTCCATTTTATCAACAATATTTTGTTTTCGTTATCAAATCTATGATCATAGGATCCTAGAGGTAATTTGTCTAGGTCTTTGGTTTATCGCAATGGACAGTTTGCAGTCCTATTTTCTCTGATAGCACCTGTTGCACGTACTTGCATTTAATTGACGAAATAAGGCATGATTGCTAAAAAAATTATCAAGATATAAGCAACAACGTTTTGGACTTGTTACAGAAGTTAGCTAAATATAAGAAAGCTAATAAAAATTTTGTTCTCATCTTTTGTGAATAACCAAAACGGACAAGCAACGGAAAATATTTCCTCGACTTAGCAGCAGGCGGTCAAACAGTATTAAAACTATTGCGACACGCAAAATGTATTGCAAAAACATGTTCCCCTTGGTTTTGTGGAGATATTCTCAAACGACATATCTTTATAATGATAGGAACTAACGATTTACTCCACAAAACATCGCTATCGCAATTGAAGTCTCAATATTTTCACCTCTTCCGCTTCCTTCTTTCCTTAACCCTTTGTGTCACGACGGTACTTTAAAGTACCGGTAGTATTAAACATTCATTTTAAATCATTTTAAAAAGAAAGCATTGATCTTTAATTTAAAATAAGTCTCATTCCTTAATTTCAATAAATACGGCTTCCAAAAATTTTTAAATTAGCATCTTTTTTGACACTTTTAGGTTATACGAAAATGTAAGATTTGTTTCAACATTTTTTTTCTCAATATTTTTCCAATCAACCCAACAATTATTATACATTATTTTAAAGAGAAAGCATTGAGCTTTAATTTAGAATCAGTCTCATTCCTTAATTTCAATAAATACGGCTTCAAGGAATTTTTAAATTAGCATCTTTTTTGACACTTTTAGGTTATACGAAAATGTAAGTTTTGTTTCAACATTTTTTTTCTCAATATTTTTCCAATCCAACCCAACAATTATTATACATCATTTTAAAGAGAAAGCTTTGAGCTTTAATTTAGAATAAGTCTCATTCCTTAATTTGAATAAATACGGCTTTCAGGAATTTTTAAATTAGCATCTTTTTTGACACTTTTAGGTTATACGAAAACGTAAGTTTTGTTTCAACATTTTTTTTCGTAACATTTTTCCAATCCAATCCAACAATTATTATACATCATTTTAAAGAGAAAGCTTTGAGCTTTAATTTAGAATAAGTCTCATTCCATAATTTCAATAAATACGGCTTACAAAAATTTTTAAATTAGCATCTTTTTTGACACTTTTAGGTTATACGAAAATGTAAGATTTGTTTCAACATTTTTTTTCCCAATATTTTTCCAATCCAACCCAACAATTATTATAGACCATTTTATAGAGAAAGCTGTGAGCTTTAATTTAAAATAAGTCTCATTCTTTAATTTCAATAAACACGGCTTCCAGGAATTTTTAAATTAACATCTTTTATAACACTTTTAGGTTATATGAAAATGTTAGTTTTAACTCAATACTCTTTTTCTCAATATTTTTCTAATTCAACCCAACGATTATTATACTTTATATTAAACTTATTATACTTTTTTGATACTTACGAAAATGTTAGTTTTTGCTCAATATGTTTTTTCTCAATATTCTATCAGATTTTCGTCGTTCTGTAGCTACAGGTCTGATAAATACATATTCAAATTTACTGCGTCCACGAAAATGTCGTAGCGCAAGTTCAAAAGAAAGAGGAAGTTGTGAAAACTGTTCTGCCAAAGGTAGACCACACTCAAAATGTAGCTAAAGCAGATGTTACTTATTTTCTAACGTAATAAAAAATGTATTATTTTTATATTGGCAATAAGTTTTTGTTTACTGCAACATTACTAAAACATATTTTAATTAATTAAATATATTTAGAATGGGGATTGCATATTTTGCTAAAATTAATTCCAAAGGCCTTTACTGAGTGTATTTTGATAGCGTTTTAATTCTGTCACAAAGTTTCAAGACTTCTTGGGACACAAAGGGTTAAATCCTAAAGGAATACAAATTTGTGCAATTCCTCAATGCAAAAACTCCGAGTTTGTGAACGTTAGATGTTATAATTTCTGTGTCATGCTATAAATAAATAATCTCCATGCCTTTATAGGAAATCAATCGTTATATTCGACAGTTTTGTACTGAAAAACACAACAATTGCATTGACATTGAAAGAATTGTGTGTTTTGAAACCCAACCCAACCCAAATTGTATTGGTTACGAAATTACGAATGTTTTAAGTTTATAGCTGGGATTTATGGATAATTTCGCACCAGTTGTACCATCAGATTAAAGAATTCGAAGGAATCTCAAAAAATTATGTCTAATATTTTGACAATTAATTTCCTAGAAACAACACAGCATTTAATGACACCATAATTTTATATTTGCTCAATCAAAATGGTCAAAATTCTCAGCAAAATAAATCAAATATTCCAAAAATTTCGTAAATAACACAACTAACATGTATATGCACCAAGAAGGTCCGCAACACGATTCGGAAAGTCTCCATCAATTAAGAAGATCAACACAACCGAATAGATCACAATATTTAGCAACAATGCCAGATCCTTCAGACGTAATGCGTTATGAATGGCGAAACGCCAGGAGATTGGAAATTATAAAAATGACTGAAGCGGTAATTGAAGCTATTGGCACAGGAGATTACGAAACGTATAGAAAATTATGCGATCCAAACATGACTTCATTTGAGCCAGAAACTCTTGGAAATTTAATCGAAGGGGTCGATTATCACAAATTTACCTTTGATAATTTGTATCCAAAACAAAAAGCGATTAAAATACGAATTTTAAACCCTCATGTACGTCTTTTAGGGGATAATGCTGCTTCTATTGCGTACATTCGTTTAACACAATTCGTTGATGGTGATACCGGATATCTTTTTAGTACCCGAACTCAAGAAACAAGGATTTGGAGAAAAAAAGAAAACGTATGGTATAATGTACATGTTCATAGAAGTGGAAATGAACTCATTCGAAAATCAATTATTTAATTATTGTCCTGATATGTTTTTATTATTTTACTAAATTTAATTTAAAAAAATAAATTATGTATGTCTATCGAAAAAATTTGATTATGTTGGGTTAACTTTCTAACCTCAAAAACATCTGTAAACATAAAAATAATTTAAATAAATTTCTTACATCAGGTGCAAAACTCATTTCTCCAGCACTTTCTTGTTCGGTAGTTCTGGAGGGATTTCCAATTAAATCAAAAAACGCAGCCGAAGGATCTTTGGGTTGTGGCAGAGTCTCAGAAAAAATTCTACACACTTCTGGTTCGCTGGAACTTTGCTCGTTTCGACTTAACTGTAACGACCCGATGCTGGTTATAGCCTCGTTCAATTCATTTGTGTAAGTTACTTGGGCCTCGCTCGATTTTCCACTACTAAAATACTGACTCAACTGCGACGGATTTCCAGACATCGTGTATGGGGCGCGCGCTCTCTTTCTCTCGTGACACCTAATATCACAAAGTACGCGTGGTTACTGAGTTTTTCAACCAGGGGTTCATTATTTTATTGCGCGCACCGACTATTATTATTTTGATGGTTAATATACGTCATAACTTACTGTCAAAAATTGACAGATAAGAAATTTGTAAAAGTAAAAGGTGGGTTGGGGTGTTATTGATTTTTTAAGGTTGGCAATATTTTTGAAAAAAAAATAAAAACAAAAAAGTTAAAACGTAAAATGGTTTACAAAGAAAAATATTTGAGTAAAAAGGTTTATTAAGGTGCTTACGTAATATTTTTGTAACATTTTTCTTTTAGTAGTTTACGATTTATGATTATAATTTTGCGACATGCAATCCATTTATAATCACGATTTAGTTTCTATTTATAAGTTATAAAATTTCTTATTAATTTTTAAGTAATTACGGCAGCTACGTTTATTTTTAAATAAAGAAATAATGATTTTTCTCAATTATGGAAATTAAGAAAATTATATATATGGCGCCATCTAGTTTTGTATTGGTCACACTAATTATAAATTTATTGTGGAGAATTTCACTATTTTTAAGAATTACTTAGAATTAAATGTTTTTAAAAACATAGAAAGTTTTGTTTCAACCAAATTTTGTGTTGAACATTAAATATTCTTTATAATTTCTTATAATTTAAAAAGTTTAAGTGGCGGCATCCATCGTCTATAATATAAACTAGATTAAGAACAAATTGGATTATTTCAAATTTCTTTACCAATAATTTAACGATATCTTAGGAATAAATATTACATCTTACGATATAATTTTGCTGTTCTAAGATTTAATAAAAGGAAATGTTTATAAGGGTTATTTTATATTGAAAAATGTTTTGGCGTCGCCATCTACAACTTATAATAAAAACTAGTTTGAAAATTAATTTTAGATTAGCACATTTTAGAATTTTTATTAATATTACTTAAAACTCATTTTGTTATATCATCTGAAAATTTAATGATTCTAAGACTGTTTTTCTAAGAGCTATATATTTTTATAACTCCTAGAACGCCCATTTTTGGATATTTTTTGATTTAATCACTCTGAACATCTTTATTTAAGATTTTGTAATAATTTAATAGTTTGTATCAGATTCTACACATTTTTTATTACAATTGCATAAAGTTTGATGATTCCAAACAGTTTTTCAAAAGAGTTATGAATTTTTTTATCTCTTAAACGTTAATTTTTGAATATTTCTTGATTTTATTACCCTGAACATTGTTATTTAAATTTTTGAACCAATTTTACACATTTTATTGCAATCCATGATTCTAAGACGGTTTTTCAATGACTTATATAATTTTATAACTCCTAGAACGCCCATTTTTGGATATTTTTTAATTTAATCACTTTGAACATTTATTTAAGGTTTTGTAATAATTTAACATTTTGTATCAGATTTTACACAATTTTTATCACAATTCCTAAGAATTTGATAATTCTAATCAGTTTTTCAAAAGAGTTATGAGTTTTTGTATCTCTTAAAACGTTAATTTTTGGATTTTTCTCGATTTTATTACCCTGAACATTGTTATTTAAAATTTTGAAACAATTCAACACATTTTATTGCAATCTACATTCATTTTATTACAACATCTGAGAATTTAATAATTCTAAAACGGTTTTTCAAAGAGCTATATATTTTTATAACTCCTAGAACGCCCATTTTTGAATATTTTTTGATATAATTACACTGAACATCTTTATTTAAGATTTTGTAATAATTTAACATTTTTTATCAGATTCTACACATTTTTAATTACAATTCCTAAAAATTTAATGATTCCAATCAGTTTTTCAAAAGAGTTATGAATTTGTTTATCCCTTAAAACGTTAATTTTTGGATATTTCTCGATTTTATTACCCCGAATATTGTTATTTAAATTTTTGAAACAATTTAACACGTTTTATTGCAATCTACATTCATTTTATTATAACATCTGAGAATTTAATAATTCTAAGACGGTTTTTCAAAGAGCTATATATTTTTATAACTCCTAGAACGCCCATTTTTGAATATTTTTTGATATAATTACACTGAACATCTTTATTTAAGATTTTGTAATAATTTAACATTTTGTATCAGATTCTACACATTTTTAATTGCAATTCCTAAATGTTTGATAATTCCAATCAGTTTCTCAAAAGAGTTATGATTTTTTTTATCTCTTAAAACGTTAATTTTTGGATATTTCTCGTTTTTATTACCCTAAATATTGTTATTTAAATTTTTTAAACAGTTTAACACGTTTTATTGCAATCTACACTCATTTTATTACATCTGAAAATTTAATGATTCTAAGACGGTTTTTCAAAGAGCTATATATTTTTATAATTCCTAGAAAGCCCATTTTTGGATATTTTTTGATTTAATCACTTTGCACATATTTATTTAAGGTTTTGTAATAATTTAACATTTTGTATCAGATTTTACACAATTTTTATTACAATTCCTAAGAATTTGATAATTCTAATCAGTTTTTCAAAAGAGTTATGAATTTGTGTATCTCTTAAAACGTTAATTTTTGGATATTTCTCGATTTTATTACCCTGAACATTGTTATTTAATATTGTCAACATTATTGTGTGCTGTGTTCGTCTTGTTGTACGTTTCATTTTAATTTGTAACATTTCTATTTAATTTTAACATTTTACCATAGTTTCTTTATTTAAATTTTAATATTTTAATGTTCAATTTGTTATTTTTATAAAATTCAACGTTAGCATTTTCTTCATTTATGACATTTTCGCTGATGATGACCTTTATGTGTCGAAACCGGTTCCAATAAATATTTAAAACATAAGCAAGTAAGAAGTTTCTTATATTTTTATATGTATTATACATATAGTTTTTCAAAAGACTTATGATTTTTTTTATATCTTAAAACATTAATTTTAATTTAACATTTTGTATCAGATTCTACACAGTTTTTATTACAATTCCTAAAAATTTGATAATTCCAATCAGTTTTTGAAAAGACCCATTAACTATTATATCTCTTAAAATGTTAATTTTTCGATATTTCTTGATTAAATCACCCTGAATATTGTTATTTAAATTTTTTGAAACAATTTAACACGTTTTATTGCAATCTACATTCATTTCATTGTAACATCTGAAAATTTAATGATTTTAAGACGGTTTTTCAAAGAGCTATATATTTTTATAATTCCTAGAACGCTCATTTTTCGTTATTTTTTGATTTAATCACTCTGAACATCTTTATTTAAGATTTGGAATAATTTAACATTTTGTATCAGATTCTACACATTTTTAGTTACAATCCCTAAAAGTTTGATAATTTCAATCAGTTTTTCAAGAGAGTAATGAATTCTTTTATCTCTTAAAACGCAAATTTTTGGATATTTCTCGATTTTATTACCCTGAACATGGTTATTTAAAATTTTGAAACAATTTAACATGTTTTATTGCAATCTACAGTCATTTTATTACAACATCTAAAAATTTAATAATTCTAAGACGGTTTTTCAAAGAGCTATATATTTTTATAACTCCTAGAACGCCCATTTTTGGATATTTTTTGATTTAATCACTCTGAACATCGTTATTTAAGGTTTTGTAATAATTTAACATTTTGTATCTGATTCTAAAAACTTTTTATTACAATTCCTAAAAATTTGATAATTCCAATCAGTTTTTCAAAAGTATTATGAATTTTTTATCTCTTAAAACGTTAATTTTTGGATATTTCTTGATTTTATTGCCCTGAACATTGTTATTTAAAATTTTGAAACAATTTAACACGTTTTATTGCAATCTACATTCATTTTATTATAACATCAGAAAATTTAATGATTCTAAGACGGGTTTTCAAAGAGCCCGTTTTTGGATATTTTTTAATTTAATCACTTTGAATATCGTTATTCAAGGTTTTGTAATAATTTAACATTTTGTATCAGATTCTACGTAGTTTTTATTACAATTCATAAAAGTTTTACAATTCTAATCAGTTTTTCAAAAGAGTTATGAATTTTTATATCTCTTAAAATATTAATATTTCGATAGTTCTTGATTTAATCACCCTGAACATTGTTATTTAAATTTTTTAAACAATTTAATACGTTTTATTGCAATCTACATTCATTTTATTATAACATCAGAAAATTTAATGATTCTAAGACGGTTTTTCAAAGAGCTATATATCTTTATAACTCCTAGAACGCTCATTTTTGGATATTTTTTGATTTAATCACTCTAAACATCTTTATTTAAGGTTTTGTAATAATTTAACATTTTGTATCAGATTCTACATATTTTTAATTACAATTCCTAACAATTTGATAATTCCAATCAGTCTTTCAAAAGAGTTATGATCTTTTTTCTCTTAAAACGTTGATTTTTGGATATTTCTTGATTTTATTGCCCTGAACATTGTTATTTAAATTTTTGAAACAATTTAACATGTTTTATTGCAATTTACACTCATTTTATTACAACATCAGAAAATTTAATGATTCTAAGACGGTTTTTCAAAGAGCTATATATCTTTATAACTCCTAGAACGCTCATTTTTGGATATTTTTTGATTTAATCACTCTGAACATCTTTATTTAAGGTTTCGTGATAATTTAACATTTTGTATCAGATTCTACACATATTCTATTACAATTTCTAAAAATTTAATAATTCCAATCAGTTTTTCAAAAGAGTTATGAATTTTTTTATCCCCTAAAACGTTAATTTTTGGATATTTCTCGATTTTATTACCCTGAACAATGTTATTTAAATTTTTGAAACAATGTAATACATTTTATTGTAATCTACACTCATTTTATTATAACATCTGAAAATTTAATGATTCTAAGACGGTTTTTCAAAGAGCTATATATTTTTATAATTCCTAGAAAGCCCATTTTTGGATATTTTTAGATTTAATCACTTTGAACATATTTATTTAAGGTTTTGTAATAATTTAACATTTTGTATCTGATTCTACACATTTTTTATTACAATTCCTAAAAATTTGATAGTTCCAATCAGTTGTTCAAAAAAGTTATGAATTTTTTTATCGCTTAAAACATTAATTTTTGGATATTTCTCGATTTTATTATCTTGAACATTGTTGTTTAAAATTTTGAAACAATTCAACACGTTTCATTGCAATCTACATTCATTTTATTACAACATCTGAAAATTTAATAATTCTAAGACGGTTTTTCAAAGAGCTATATATCTTTATAACTCCTAGAACGCCCATTTATGTACCTATATTTTTTGATTTAATAACTCTGAACATTTTGTATCAGATTCTACACATGTTTTATTATGATACCAAAAAATTTGATAATTCCAATCAGTTTTTCAAAAGAGTTATGAATTTTTTTATCTCTTAAAACGCTAATTTTTGGATATTTCTCGATTTTATTACTCTGAACATTGTTATTTAAATTTTTGAAACAATTTAACACATTTTATTGTAATCTACACTCATTTTATTATAACATCTGAAAATTTAATGATTCTAAGACGGTTTTTCAAAGAGCTATATATTTTTATAACTCCTAGAACGCTCATTTTTGGATATTTTTTGATTTAATCACTCTGAACATCTTTATTTAACGTGATAGAAATTTTCGGATTTTGTTGTACTTTTACTGGTTTATTTATATTTTTGTTGTCTAACTAGTTTCGCCAAAAGCCATCATCAGAGACAAAAGTCAATGTATTTTACAGGAAATTAATTAAAATTATTATTGTCACAAAATTTACTTAAAATAAACGTAAAAATTCTTTTACAAAACTTTAAAGATTTAACTCCGCATGGACATCTTTTGTGGTAGATGTTACAAGATGGTCAGACCATCTGTAAAGTACAACAAAATCCAAAAATTTTTTCTATCACGTTAAACAAAGTGGTATAATGGATATTAACTTCAATTTCAACCTAATCTTTATTTAAGATTTTGTAATAATTTAACATTTTATATCAGATTCTACACATGTTTAATTACAATTCCTAAAAGTTTGATAATTGCAATCAGTTTTTCAAAGGAGTTATGAATTTTTTTATCTCTTAAAACGTTACTTTTTGGATATTTCTTGATTTTATTACCCTGAACATTTTTATTTCAATTTTTGAAACAATTTGACACATTTTATTACAATCTACACTCATTTTGTTATAACATCTGAAATTTTAATGATTCTAAGACGGTTTTTCAAAGAGCTATATATTTTTATAACTCCTAGAACGCCCATTTTTTGATATTAAGCTAGATTTAGTACTGATCAAAACGAGAAAAAAAAATTTAATTATTTTTAAAAGATGTGGATTTTTTTAAATTTATTTTCCATAACGAAAACTAGTCCATTAAATTTATATAAATTTTCATAAAAAACTTATTTAATCTCCAATATATGTTTATAAATATTTATTTATGCTAATTTTTATTTGAAGGTGAACAGGATCTTCACTTTTCGCACGACTATTTTATAAATTGACGTCATTTTTTGTATAATTTTTATGATGCATCCCAAAATGTTTTATTTTTCCTGCAATGACTCATTAAAAAAAAACGCGTTCTTGACCTAATACACGTATTAGGATTTACGTTTTATCGTTGGGCAATAAAGGATTTTGATCTTTAGGAAAAATATGTAATAAATATAGAGTTATCTTTAATCGATTTAATCCGATAGAAAAATATGGTTAAAGTGGTCATTATAAACGACAATAATATACCTACAAATGTGATATCCAACTCTACTTATATGTTAATATAAATTTATTAAGAAAATAATAAAATAGTAGCGTTAGATACATATTCGAATTCAAAAATTTTATATTCATACCAATCTTATAATAAAAAATAACCCTTATAAAAACATTTTAACGAATTTGATACAAATTAAATAAATTTTAATTAAAAAATTTTTTAAATTGAAGGTATACTTTGAAATGAATCACCACTGTAAACGGATTTAAAATCAGCTGATGCAAAAGATTGTACAGATTTTGCACTGTACATAGATTTTATGCTATACATAGATTTAATGCTTTGTACTGAAGCCTCAGAAACTGTTCTTGAAGCCGGTCTTTTAATCGGTTCTGGAGATATTGACGAATTCGAGTCAGTTTCTTGAGTTGTTACCTCAACCATTTCTACAAAAACAAATATTTAAATAAATACACAAATATTGATGATAAAAATATATTTATTACCTTGAGGGGGTTCCCGATTTGGGTTTTGTCGTGGTCTAAAACAGCTACAAACGCAATTGAACATGTTTCATCTTTCGTTGACGACACCCGAATAAAATAAGGTTATCAACGAAACTTTTTAGTAAATTTAATTCGACGAATTCAACTCGAAAATGTAAAACAACATAAAAAAAAAATTAAACCACTTTTAGAAGAGCTCGCACTTGATCTACTTGAACTTCAAAGATAAAATTAGATTTTTTTTTGATAATCCAAACGATTTCTAACTGAAATAAAACTGTGTTGGAGACGATTCCGAGATGAGTGTATCTGTAAGAATGAACATTTCATTTATAGTATAGAATATCAAACATAAAGTGGGATCGAGAACGAGTTTTGATTATTATTTTCGATTAACGTCTTTATCTTATCTGATTTTTATAGGAGAATGGGGAATTTATTTTTTTCTCTTTGTAAATAGTTACAAACATAATTAATTTTTAATTGAAACTACTTGTGAAGTAAATTTATTTTATAGAATAAATTTTTAAATTTAAATTAATTTGACAGTTATCCATCTAACCTCACTTTTCTTTTTAATTATGATTCTTAAAGACATAATTAATTTTAATAAAAATATTTACCGGTAATAAAAGAAGAGATTCTTTTTAATGTTTTATAATCCATAAATACCAAATCCGGGTTTAATCTTGAAATATTCAAAAAACATAGTTAATGAACTTAAAATTGACGTTTAGATATGCCAAAAAAAATTTTGCCAACTTAAATAATAAATAACAATCAATCTTTCATAAATCCATGATTTAAATTTTTTAATCATAATTTTTATACCTTATTCTAAATTAATACAAGAAAAAACAATAAATAATTTACAATTTTTATCAAATTCAAAAATTAAAAGTATTTTAATCTTTTTAGTATCATGTGAACTCTTTGCACAAATAACGTACACTAAATCAATTTATTGAATAAATTTAATACATATTTTTTTGATTAATTAACTTTCTTAATTACATTAATTTTATTTATTTTAAATTCAAATTCAACAAAAATATTTTTTTCTTATGTAAACGTTCTTTATTGGATGACGTGTTTAAAATCAAAACTGTCAAAAAAAAATGTCAAAATCATTCCCTCAAAAAATAGGAAGTTTAAACGATTTGAATTAATCGTGAAAGTACACGTATCCTATAAAATGTGTTTATAAGAGAAATATCTCTAATAATAAAGTTATTACAACATTAATTGAAATTTAGTTCGATTGGACGTTTAAAGTTCGTGTTAAGTGAAAATTTTGAGGTTAGAAATGTCTGATATCAGTGATGCTTATAAAAGGATCCCCTTTTTCACAAGATATTGGCTAACTTTGATAGCCTGTTTTACGTTGGTGGGACGTTTGGGGCTAATAAGCCCTTATACCTTGGTGTTGGCATATGAACCCCTTAAAAGATTTGAGATATGGAGAATATTTACATCGGCATTTTTCTATCCGTTAAGTCCAGGAACTGGGTTTCACTTTTTAATGAATTTATATTTTTTGTATAATTACTCAAAGTTATTAGAAACTGGATTTTTTAGTGGAAAACCAGCCGATTATTTCACAATGTTGGTTTTTCATTGGGTTTGTTCGGTTATCGTTGGGCTAATAGTTGGATTACATGTAAGTTTTATTCAAAAAAAGAAGATTAATGAATAAAAAGATTTATTTTAGATTATTATGGAACCTATGATATTAGCAACACTTTACGTTTGGTGTCGATTAAACAAAGATGTTATTGTAAACTTTTGGTTTGGTACTCAATTTAAAGCAATTTACCTCCCATGGGTATTTTTGGGTTTCAACATGATTTTAAATGGAGGTGGTCTATATGAGTTAATAGGAATTTTAATTGGACACCTTTATGTGTTCCTAATGTTTCAATATCCCCAAGAATTAGGGGGAAGTCAGTTATTATCCACTCCTAGTATATTCAAACAATGGTTTCCAGACACAATTGGAGGAGTTCATGGTTTTGGAACTCCTCCACCAAGAGCCCCACAACCACAGGCAAGAAGAGGTGTCTTTGGAAGACATAATTGGGGTACCGGGCATGTTTTAGGAGGAAACTAATTTTAATTTTGTATATTTATATAAACTTTAGTTCTTGATAATGTTTAAATAATTGATAAATGAATAAATATTAATGTAATAAAAGAAAATTTATATTAATTCTTTTACTGGTATAGTCCTATTTTGTTTGTTTTTAAGCATAAAGCATTGATGAAAAGTTTTAAGTCTTGTCACAGATAGTTGAACATAAATGCAATGAGAATCAGTACATCTTTTCAATCTCCCTAACTGTTGTCACTATCTTGTTTTGCAAGCCATGTATTCAAGGGTTAACCCAAACAAGCCTAAACTCAAGAAGAATGTGTGAAAGTAGTCAGAAAGACAGCAATACAACAGTTAGTTGTGAAACTGTCGTCAAATTAATTCTCCAAACAAAAATGAGAATGTATTGAGCTGAGCCAGAATACAAAAATTTACCTTTGACAATAAACCTGGGCATCGGACATAAAATTGGATCTTAACATACAGAAAATGACAGTGCTACAAACTGCTGTTGTATGATTGATTGATGTTATCCAATCTGTTGGTAGATTGAATGTGCTTTGTGAGTATATCAGCGTTTATAGGTGAAATTAGTTAAATTTACAACACAGAAACGTGTGCATGAGTATCAAAATACAAATAGCAGTGGAAAATAACTTCAAGAGGAGAATTTTGACACATTATTAAATGAATTAAGAATTTATACTAAGTAGTTCTATATTATCAGCGATATCACAGATAAGCACATTGCGTAATAAACCAAATTCTGTGATCGAGAATCCATCAATTTGAAAAAAAAAATTATTGCAGAAACGTGTACTGTGATATACACATACAGTAGTAGGTTATGTGAGAGAAAAAACTTTGCAAAGATGTTATTAGTGTCAAGAAGTGGAATATAAAATTCAATTTATCAAATTTTAATTGATTTCGTCACGTCGAACTTTAATTGAAGTTTGATTTCTGAAGAAGGTTGTAACATGGCATCTGAAATATCAATTTTTTCAAAAAATCTTCGAATTAACCCGAAAATTTCTAGGTCTAGTGTGGGGGATCAGCCATGGGATCACCTCTGTCACCTGTGATCACCAATTTTTAGATGGAGATGTTTGAAGAGAAACCGAAGCTATGGCTCCGTTACGTTGATGACACTTTCGTGATCTGGTAACATGGAAAGGAACAACTGCAGGAATTTCTTGACCACCTCAATTCACAGTACCCCATGATAAAATTTACCAACATATCTCATTCCTGGATAAGTTAGTCACTAGGAAGATTGATGCGGGCATTGAACTGGGAATATATCGAAAGAAGACGCATACAAATAGGTGCCTGCAGGCTTCATCCCACCACCACCCACAACAGAAGAGGTCCATGATTCAAGTCTTATTCCAGCGAACAGAAAGGATATGTGATAAAGAGAACCTCAGGAAAGAAGAAAGATTCCTAGAAAATGTACTGCAGAAGAACGGCTATACGATGAGGGATATCCAACGACTACTGATAATAATACTACAAACTATAAATATAAGTACACCAGAGTAGTTATGAGCGTAGTAAAATGAGCAGCGTAATAATAATTTTATCGAATGGGATTGTGGTAAGCTAGTTGTTTTGTGTTTGGAATATGCGAGCAAGGGTTCAATGTAAGGTTCTAAAGTTTGTTGAGCATGAGGTGCAGGTTGTTAACTTCGTGTGGGAACTTGTGATAGGTGTTATATGTTGTTTTTTTGAATATATTTTGGATTATGTAGTGGGTTTGAATGTGTTGTCGTGTTTTGGTAAAATTTGCTGGAGAGTTTCTGGAGAATCTGTTTGATTAGACGAGGTTTGGTTGTATTGTGAAGCACAACATAGTGCTTCACAAGTGTTGTGACGGATGTTTGTGTATCTGTTGGAATTGGAAGTGATTCTGTTTTGTTTTGGGTGATTTGAAGTTTTTTTGAGGTTAGTGACGGGGGCGTTTGATCGCTATTTTGTGAAATGAGGGGATAGATGGTTTTTATGGTGGAAAATGCCTTGGATATGGATTTTTGAGATATTTGGATATGAGAGGAAAAGGTTGATCTTTGGTTTAGGGAAACGTCTAGATATTTAATTTCTATATTGAATGGAATTGGAGATTATCAGATGTACTGGGATTCTGGTGAAGCGATAATTTTTGGTGAATACAATTTTTTGGCATTGACGGATATATTCCACAGGCAATATTGTTTTTCGAGGAATCTACAACGGAATAAGTCTGGAGAAATTACGGCTTCTTGTGGTCACCAGATTCAATTATTTTAGGATGGGATAGGGCGGAGTTGAATTTACTTTAATCCTGCTGAGGTAGTTATGGTTAGTTTGATAGGAGATATTTGAATAGATTCAATTTATGGATGATGCCATCAATCCAGACGGTACTGAAGGCTTTTTACAAATTTAAGGAGACGAGGGCAACCTGAGTTAGGGTATTGTGTTGTTTAGTGCCGTCGTTTTTAATCTGTAACATTTGATGTGAAATTAATTGCATGGGTTGCAAGCCAAATTTATAATTGGGGATGATGTTAGTTAAAGAGTAGGAGTTTAGTCCTTCGCGAATAATCTCTACGATTTTAGAGATGGGAGGAAGTGCTGAGATGAGATCGTTTGGTCTTTGTTGGATATGAGGATGATGACGTTTTCCCAGACGTTTTGATATAGCACAGTTGTACTATGGTTTTTTGGAGAAATTTTGAAGCAGGATGTTTGGTATGTTGTTGCAGTCTATACATGTTGGCTTTGAACGGTTTGAGGTATCTTATGATCTTGTTGTTAGTTAAGGAAATATTGGCTCAAGTCAAGCACAGTAGAATCTAACAAGACTGCTACATCCATTGTATTTTTGTAGTCCACTACGGGTTGGCTGCCCGCACTCTACGTCACCCTATTTGCCACGCCTGGTGGCAAACTGTCTGTGTTTTTAGAGGTTATATGATAGACATTAATACGTCTAAAAACATAAAACTTCAAAAATAATATAACTCAAGTTAAATATTTCGACGTTCGCTTTTTCAGGGTTTATGAATTTGAAGGTGTTTTGGAATGTCAGAGCGTGTATAAGGGTGAATTTGTATTTAATTTTTCAATTTTCATGCCAGATGGAGTTGGCTTGAGTTAAGGGATTTCTTTTTTTCGGGAATTGGTTTCATTCTTGTGTTTTTGATTTCATCGCGGATTTTTAGGCTATGGAATTCACATTTGGAGTCTGGATTGTGGGTAAGGTGGAATTGGAAAGATGGTTGTGGGAATTGAGGAGTTTAGATTAGGGTGGCAATGTGGGGTGGAGTTGGAGCATGCAGATTGGATAATCTTGTAAATATAAGGGTGACGGAACGTTTTGTTGGATTGGATGGCTGCGGTAAGATTAAGATAGTCTTCTTCAAGGTGAGGGGTGGCCTCCACGACGGGAGTCACATTAATCAAGTTGTTGAAGGCTTGACGGAAGAGCAATCAGTTTGCTGATCGGTAATTAGGGATCATGAGGGGTGATTGGTTAAGAGCTCGGGTAGAAGCTTGGTATTTTTGACATCTGTGATGACCGTTGTCGTGGAGATCATTCCATTGGTTGGGAACTGGGCGAGAGTGTTGGGAGCGCGAAGGCAAAGACGTTGTGGGCCTGGATGAAGTTGAGGATGAAATGGCCTTTTGGGTAGAGAGATGTGGCATCTCCAGGACGTGTGGAGTGTGGGAGTTTTGGAGCTGCTATAGAGCGTGGTGTAGTGAGGTTGTTGTCGAATTTTAGGGTGATGATATCAAGGTGACTCAGGTCGGGTTGGAGAATTTCGATATCGTTTCTTCAGCGTCGGGAAGTGTTTTTTTTTGTTGTATATGACGAAGTCTGGAATGGAGATTTTGTCAAATGGAATTGGTTTCACTTCGTGGATAAGGAGTATGGCGATTTTAAGTCGATTAAGGAATTCGATGGTTTCGAGAACCTTTAGAATGAGGCTGATTGAATTGAAGCCGAGGATTTTGCGGTTAAAATTAAACATCGGCAAAGTTGCTCCTGCGGTATTGGTGGCTTGTATGAGACCGACGGGGAACCTGTCGTTTCTGATTTGCATTTTAACGGGTTATTTATTTATTTATTTATAATTTATGGGTACAGAAACAGGACAAACCCAAATGATCTGTACCACGAAAAAAAAATTTTACAACAAAAGAAAAAGAAAAGGTGTACCAAGGAAAAATGAATAAAGAAAAAATCAAAATTAAGGCGAGCAATTAAAAATAAAATTAAACTTAAACTAAAAACACCGGAATTCAGATATTATATATATACAAAAAAAAAAGATAAAACAAAATAAAACAATAATAATAATACAATAAAGCAAAAAAAGCCAAAAAGTAAAATAAAATAAAACAATGCCTAATAGCAATAGTAACGGCGAAATTAAACATTATACAAAAACAGAACCAACGAGCTACCAAAACGAAAGAGGCAATTCGCTGACTGCATTAAAAAGTAAGCGCCTAAACGTAAAAAATGAATGCTGAAACAAATCAATATCGAGCTTATCAGTCTGACGAGCCANGGTGGAGTTGGAGCATGCAGATTGGATAATTTTGTGATTATAAGGATGACGGAACGTTTTGTTGGATTGGATGGCTGCGGTAAGATTAAGATGTATAGTCTTTTTCAAGGTAGGGGATGGCTTCCACAACGGGAGTGATATTGATCAAGTTGAAATAAAATACTTTTTTCTGTCTGTACTTTGCTGTAAAAAGTATTTTACTTCATTTCAAATAAAATGGAAAGAAATAATGTTTACAACAATATTGATCAAGTTGTTAATGGTTTGACGGAAGAGCGACAAGTTTACTGATTGGTAATTAAGGATCATGACGCGTTGTTTTATTGTGGCGATTGTCGTGGAGATCATTCCATTTGTTGGAAAGTGGGTGGGAGACGTTGTGGATTTGGGTGCAATTGAGAATGGAATGGCCTTTTGTGTTAGAGATATGACATCTCCAGGACAAATGGCGCGCATTGCAATTTCCGAGATTTGTTATAGCAAGTTAACATATTTTTTAGCTCGTTGGAGCTGCTAAAGAGCGCGGCGCCGGCGTAGGTTGTTGTAGAGTTTTACGGTGATGATATCAACAAGGTGACTTAAGTCGGCTAGCAAAATTTCAATATACGAGGACTCGTTTTTGATTGTTATGGCTGCACTTCTTCAACGTTGGGAGGTGGTTTTTCTGTATGTGATGTACTTTGGAATGGAGATTTTGTCGAATAAAATTGGTTTTACTTCGCTGATGGCGATTTTAAGTCGCTTAAGGAATTCGATGATTTCGAGAACTTTCAGAATGATGCTGATTGAATTGAAGCTGAGGATGTCCAGGTTAATGTTAAACATCGGCAAAATTGCTCATGCGGTTCGAGATATTCTCAAGATATTTATAGTTATCCTTGATTTGTAACGAACGATTTGCTAGGGTATTTCTAAAAATTTACAGATAATGACATAAAGTTTATACGATTTTTTTTGCAAATTTCTAAAAATTTCTCGTAGTATTTGCAGATAAACCTACTATCCGTGCAAAAAATCAATGCCCCGATTTTTACGGTATCGGCGACTGCGATTTTTTTTCTCGAAAACTATCGTACGAAAAATTTTGAATTTTGAACAGGTGGTAGTCTGATGTGTTCTTAATGAGAATGAGTGACATATTTTATTTTTTCGATATTCCGTACAGGACGTCGCGCTTTATTTCTTTATGTAGGTAAGATAAAGGCGCGCCGTACTGTCTGGAACACACCATCTGTTCCGATTGGGCGGAACCCTCCTCTCCCCGCACATCTTATTTCTGTTTAATTTGTAATTCCATTAAATTGCTCTTCAAAAATTAGGGAGCCGTAATTTTGAAAAACTGATTACGCAATCCGATAACCGACATTATTTGACATATTTTGGTAAAAACAGCGTTGAAATCCGCCAGGTCGTTTTCGAAATAACTGCATCCTACTAAATCGCTATTTTCTGCGAAACTATATGGAATATCGAAAAAAACTTGAACGAATTTGAAAGATATCTGGAATTTCTAACGTCTTCCAGGGGATTCTAAAACATCTCCAGATAATTTCCAAGATTATTCAATAAATTTATAAGGAATTTGGATTTCTAAGAATTATGTGGTGACCCCACACAATTACCTTGGGTTAGACTANAGATTAAATAGCAAGGGTCCGAGGTGGCTACCCTGAGGGACACCCGAGGGAACTGACATAGGGTCAGAGCAATATCCGTTAACAGACACAATCTGGCTCCTACCTCGCAAATATGAATCAAACCAGCGGAACAACCCACCATGAACACCATAACCATGAAGTTTTGATAAAAGAAGGCTGTGATCCACACGATCAAAAGCCTTGCTAAAATCGGTGTAAACAGAATCAACTTGACAATAATGGTCAAATGATGTTAAAATATAATTTGTGTACTCAAGCAGGTTGCTCTCCACTGACCGATTCGCAAAAAAGCCATGTTGTCTAGAATCGATTATGGATTTAAGCTTAAAGAAGAGTCTGGTATAAACCAGTTTCTCTAAAACCTTACCAAACACTGACAATATAAGAATATAAGAAGAGAAATATGTTGCAAATAGCGAGCAGACACCCTTACCGTCCCCGGCAACAGCCCCATTTAATATCATAGGTGTAGGAATTGTATCCGCACCTTTCACCTTTCTTTATGTTGCGCTTACAGTGTCATAGACGGCGACGATCCAGGGGTGAAATTTCAAAAAATATCTAGACATACTTAAGTATTTGCAGATAAATCTAGAGGATTTCCAAATTTTTAGAAGATATTGAAACTTTTATAGGATCTCCATAGCATTTCGAACGAATTTGAAAGATATCTGGAATTTCTAACGATTTCCAGGGGATTCTAAAAGATCTCCAGATAATTTCCAAGATTATTCAATAAATTTATAAGGAATTTGGATTTCTAAGAATTATGTGGTGACCCCACACAATTACCTTGGGTTAGACTACATTGACTTACATTCGATTAGGAGTTTTTAATGAGATTCCAGATTTAGAATGTGACGCATTTTTTCTTGTAGGATTTTGAGGATAGAGGAATGAAATATTTAGGAAAACGTCTCCGTCTTATTCCAAAACATTTGGAAGTTGTGATGTTATACGACTCATAAAGATCTTTACGAATTTCTTCCAGTTCAATTTGACAGGAAATGCCATCAATAACGAAGCCTTTTCTCTTTCTTCTATGGGCGTGTGAGTATGAAACGCCGTGTTGCTGCTCTGCAGCTCTTGTAGAAGAATTTTGCGTTTGTCCTGATCTTTAGTAAATATGGTACCGGTGTATCAGAGGATAACTATTATAGGCAACATTTGATGTACACTGTATTAATGTACATTGTGTGTTGCTATGCGGTAAGTGTCTAAGACTCATTATCAGTATTTTTTTAAATACTCGAAATAAGTATAATTTTAGCTCAAACAATTTAATAATAATATAATAAATTAAATAATTATTTTACTAGCAAACATTCTTCGTTCTTTTACACTGGATCTTGATGACGCTTTCGATCCACTACTCGCACTTTTGCTACTAATACTACTACTTTTATTACTAATCATTTCCGGATATTTAATATTACTATTTCCATATAGAATAATTTTTAATAATCGGTTTTCCCCATCTTCAGCAAAAACTCTTTGCAATTGCAACTCCCTTAACGTATCCTTAACAAAATCGAGCCCATCATCAGTTATTTTATTAAACGACAAGTTTAAACATTGTAATCGCGAATTTCCGCTGCAATAAATATTTTTATCCTCCGTAGAACATTCATAAACGAACGGATATGGATCTTTTGGTAATTTTGATAATATGAGACTCTCTAAGCTTTTATGACTATCAGCGGAACTCCGTCGTCTTTGACTCGAAGTAGTAGCTACTCTCATTCTTGCTGAGCTGCAAGATCTTTTCGAGCTAGTATCACTTTTAATTAAACTTACACTGCTTAAATTGCTATCACTTTTTCTTGATTTAGTTATATCATAGCGGATTTCTTCTTTTAGTTGAAGCCGATGCAAATTTTTTTGTCGTCTTAAAACGATTTCTTCGTGATTTAATGGAAATTTTCTTAACGTTTTCATTAAATGTATTAACCCCACGTCGGTTATTAAATTATCCGTTAAATTTAAATACATTAGAGTTCTATTTGTTCTTAATTCATCGGCTAAATGTTTAGCACCTACGTCGGTTATTAAATTACTCGATAAATTTAACGTTAATATTGTTCTTTCGTACGGAGATTGAAGCGGCCTTTTAAATCGAAACACTCCTTTATCTGTGAGTTTGCAGAATCTTAATGAAAGGTGTCGAATGTTTGTGCCTTTTCCAAGAATGTATTGGGGATGTTTTGGAATGTAATTTCCATCTAAACTGACGTCGATTATGTTTGGGTTTGCAACAAGGAGGAATTTTATTGCTTTTACTTGGGGTAAAGTTAGTTGGCAAAATTCTAATTTTAATACTCGTATTGTGTCGAATTTGGGTAATGTTTTTTGTAGAGCACCCATAATTGCATCTTTCATTTTAAATTGTTTACAAATTAAACTTGTTGCGGAATCTCGAAATGGATAAATCACCCTAATTTCTTCATCTGTAGTGGTTATTTCGGATTCAGTTCGCGATGGATTCATATCAAGTTGTTTTGATGATTGGCGTTTTGATGCGATTGAACTTTGTCTCGAAGCTACCTATAATTAATAGCAAATTAATTTTTATTGTAATAATTAATTTATTTACCTCGACGGCTGATCCGACTTCTTGAAATATAAACGGAGTTGGTTCTGATAATAAACATTTTATCGTTGGAAAAGATTCCATGTTTAATTCTTGACACATATCATAAAACATTTCTTTAAAACCATCGTTTGTTGAAATCGTAGATTGTTTTTTCGAGTTTCTTCGGAGTTTCGACGAAGATAATCCGGTTATTGATGATATTCCTGATTTTGACATAATTGACTGATTATAAAATAAGTTTCTAGATGTTTTTAAAAAATTTATTGTGTCAAAGTTTTATAATACAATGAAAACATACGATGGAGTAAAAGAGAAACAAGATTAGCACAATTTAACAATAATACAATCAACCGAAAAAAATAAGGATAGATTATACAAAACCGTTGATATTAACTTAAGAAGAAAAAAAGAACAATAAAATAAAAAGAATAATAATTAAGAAATTTACCTAAGAACACTTAAATAGTTTATTTTAATTCATACATAAAACTCGTCTCCTAAAAGAAGAAAACCGTTATTTCCATTCAGTTCACGCAGCTTCTTCTTCAAATGATTTTTTTTATCTCGATTTATTTAAAATCATATATTTTCAGTGCTAAAATTCATTTAAATCGCATTTCAACAACAAAAATACTCACTTAAACCTACATCATTATCGATTTTAGAAGCTATTTACAATGAGAGAAAGGAGAATACACCACAGAGAGTCATTTTTAATTTTTGTTACTTTAAGTTCCGCATTACGCCACGTTTCTAAATTTTAATTGTATATTTTTAATACTTTTGATGTTATTTTTTTGGCAAATTGCACACGAGCCGCCCCAAAATCCAATTTAATAAAAAAAAAAAACAAGAAGAAAAACGAAATAACAACACACTCAAGAGAGATAAATAAATTTATATTTTTTGTTTCGAAATCACTAAACTTTAAAAAGCTACAATATATACAATTGATATACAGCCTTTACTAGTTTACAACCGTGTGTATATGTTTTGGGGGAGATTTGGAACTTTCTCTTAATTTCCAGTGCCTTTTTTTGGCGTAATATATTCGGTTAAAATTTATTAAATTAATTAAACCGTTTTAAAACTCCCGATTTTACGCACGCTTTTATATTTTTACGGGATTAGTATACGAATGTAAATTGTATAATATGTATAGTATTTGTGGTTTTGTTTTTCTTTTACATTTTATTTATTTTAGTTATTATTTTTTTTTTCGCGTGGCAAGTAAACGTAGTAACGTGTACAAAACAGTCACAATAAAAGCTTCATTTTTTTTAATCGTTTCGAAAAGGTTAATTAAACGAGTAACGTAGGCGCTCTGAGGAGGAATCATGCCAGGTAGCTGTATGTGTCTTTTTGACCTTCAGTTCTTTCCAGGTATTCTTTTTCAATTAATATATCTATGCATTTCTAAAAAGAAAAAATATATATAATTAAAATTTATAAGAAATGTCATAAATTATTTTAATAATATTACATATATAGAGTGATTATCTAAAGTGGTTTATTTAAGCTTTGTTCGTTATTTGATTAGTTTCAAACCAATAATTTTAATAAAAAAATTTTAAGTGATTTTACTATTGTTTGATATTGACTAAAAATTGTCAAAATTGCTAAATTAAGAATTGTGTATTACAATTCCGTATCTTCAGGTATCTCAAAAAGTACCCAAAATAAGTTATTTGGGTTTAAAAGAAATTCGTTAATCTTTTCAAAAATGAACTTGGAGTACGACATTTTCAGAAATTATATTAAAAAGTATGTAAGTTTCATCACCATGGCGTGTGAATCCATATTTTGAATTCATGGCCAAGAGTGCTGGATGTGGTGATAAGATAACAGTACATGATGAAGGAGTTGAGAGAAAATGCATCACAATCAAAAAACAAAGATCGAGGTTAACATATAAATAAAAACGAAATTAAATTATCTAAGAGAAACGTTTCTATTGAAGAATATATAAGCAATCGAGCTAAAGGCAATCACCAGGGTAAATTTAGAAGATTATACACGTTGTAGTCACAACAAACATTGACACAGCCAGAATCAAAATGATATGAAAAAGCTTTATTAAAACATTAGGTGTCAACTATAAGATAATTCGTGGTTCGTTTACTTGTCATATTTGTACAGCTACCATGCAATTTGTGGTATGTACATGTGAATAGATGGCTTAAAAGATGAGAATATAAAACCAAAATCAGCAAAAGGATTTTTATGTTTTATAAATTATTATTATTTTGTACGCAAAAAAGGCTGGATAGAAATAATGAGTTTCGTAGCGTTTTAATGTTTGGTACAAATATGACATGCTCTATAAATATTTTATCTATTTATCTCAAGTGGGTACAGAAACAAGTCGAACCCAATATTACTGTACCACAAACAACCGGTTGTATACAAGATAATTACTAATTACTATTCTTTACCATGTTGACTTGAGTGATGGGTCGGTTGAAACGTTGAGGAATTACCTGAGTCACAGAACACAAAGAGTAAGAATGGATGATGAGTTGTCTGATGTATTGGAGGTGAAATCAGGCGTACCACAGGGATCTATATTGTCCCCAGATTTATTTTCTATTTACACATCTTTTCTTCCTGATTGCCTTAAATATTGCAAATATCACTTCTTTGCAGATGACACTGTAGTTTATTACTCCTTTCCACTCAATCAAATTAAGGAAGCAGTGAATCTAATAAATTCTGATTTAGATCATGTGGCTGTTATGTCTGAGGCACACCAACTCAGATTGAATCCATTGAAGTGTTCTATGATTGTTTTGGGTGCGAAGAGTTACAGAAAGCTGTTTTTGGATGTTGAGATACTTCACAATCCTGTACCAATCGTGTATAAACTCAAAGTTTTGGGTTTAACAATTGACAGAGATTTACGGTTTAATAATCATATCAACAATTTGATACGACAGTCGTATGGCAAATTAAAAATGTTATACCCAAGTAGGCAGATGTTGAATAGGGAAACTAAGTTGTTATTGTGTGATTCGCTGATTCTTTCTCTATTTCATCACTGTGACTTGGTGTATGGGTCTTGACCTACTGCTGTTGACTCATTAAGAGTTCAGAGAGTGCAGAAGTCTTGCCTCAGATATGACTCGTAGACGTTCCCTTCATCTGGCGTGTCGTCTACATCAAATAGTAACTACTAAGACTCCTCCTTGCTTGTACGAAAAAATTACCTGTAGAACTGATGTGCATAATTTGAATTTAAGACACAAAAATGTGATTTTTATTCCTACTCACCGTCACGAATTATTTAAACGTTCGTTCTCTTATTTAGCAGCTACAATTCTGAATAGTATACCATTTAATTACACACTACTTAGCCGGTTTAGTTTTAGAAAGAGATATGTCTATTCTGCAAAAGTAATTTGATTTTGTGCGAACCAGTGATCTCTGAGTTTCACCCGCCTGTCTCTTGAATGAGCTCTCTTATTGTTAATTACAGGTGATCTATTGCCATTCTGGAGTTTATTATCTTATTTTATTTTATAAGTACGAAGGCTTTCACGGCCGGTGCGAATTAAACTAAGATTAGAACTAAAACTAGAACTAACACTAGAAACTTTCGGGTTTTGCCGTGCGTCTTTTAATAAAAGGTTTGACGTTTCGGATGCCATGTTGCAACCTTCTTCAGAAACTGGTTCGAAGTGAGACTTCGAGTTTTAGTTCTAATCTTAGTTTATTTTATTTTGTTTTGTATTTTTTTCTCTCGTTCTCTCTTTTTATTTTGATATATGAATTTTTTTTTGTTTTTGTTCTTTACTTATGGGGTGGCTTTAAATCAGACTTGTCTGTGCTGCTCGTTTTGATGTCAAAATGCTAGTTAGTTACAATGTGTAAATTGCCTTTCGCTTGTAAAATGATATTTGTTTTTTTTTTTTTGACATCAATAAAGTGGTTATTATTATGATTATAGTTCACAATGATAAGGAATTAACAATTTTCTTCTCCTGATCCTTATGCCTAATGGCGTCGGATAAATCTTTTTCCTATTCCTCCATCCACCTCTTCCACTCCCTCCGGTTCCTCGCTAATTCTTTTATATCTGCTAGTCTTCCCTCTCTTCTTCCCAACTTCTGCTATTCTTTCCTCCCACCTCTTCCTAGGTCTTCTCCTCTTTTTCTTACCCTTATTCTTTGCTTCAAATACCTTTTTTTCTATTGTGTTATATTCCATTTTAATAGGGCCGTTAAGTATTTTTTTATTGGCTTATTCGAATGTTTTTTTAACATTGATTGACCCTATATTTTTTAATTTTTGATTCTGAGGCTGTTTTTCCAAAAAAAAATAATAGTAAAGTTTGAAACTACAGGGCGCGAACTCCAAAGTACGTCACTCAGATTTGAGTGTACGATTGGATCGTATAAAAATCAATAAAATTCCTGGAGAGAGACAATGCTACGAATCTTATGCGCTAGAAGAAAACAGTAACTAACTACAAAACATACAACGTCTGTAATTTCTTTCTTCTTACTTAAAACGTCATCTGGAGTCGGGGAATTTTAAACTTGTACATTAATTATTGCAAAATTAAACAATTTTCGAACGTAAAAACGTTATTAATCCGTCTAATTTAATTTAGATTATCGATTTTTTGAAAGACGGTCTTTCTAATCGGCTTCTTAATCGGCCCTATTATGTGGGCGTACCAGTTTAGTTGCTTTCTCTTTATTTTGCTGATTATCTCCTCTTGATCTACTCCCGTCTTATTTCCTCAGTCCTTATCCTATCCCACTTCGTCTTCCCGACTATTTTCCGTAAAAATTTCATTTCCATTGCTATGATCTTTCCTTCTTTTTTATCTTGGAGTGTCCATGATTCACTGGCATATTAACATTGGAACAGCCACGGAGTTGTACACTTTCAATTTTATCTTTTTATCTATCTCCTTCTTCCGAAAAATGGTTCTGATATAAGTTGTTTGTTTTCCTTATTCTTGCATTTAACTACTCATATGATGAAACTTCTTCTATTTTTGTTCCTTAATAAATATTTCTTTCGGATTATTTTTTATTTCCTTTTTATGTATTATCACGATTTTAGATTTATTTGCGTTCAATTCTAGACCTATCTTTTCAATTTCCTCTGTCCATATCTTAAGCAACTTCCTTGCCATCTGCTATCAGCACTATGTCGTCAGCATATAGTAAATTATCTATTTTTACTGATTCCAAACTTTTATAACCTGTTACTGTTTAATATTTGTTTGTTCTCGTTCTTGTATTTTTATCACTCTGTGCATTAATATTATAAATAATAAGGGGGTTAGGAGATCGCCATGTTTTATTCCCTTGTTCCTTTCAAAAGTTTTTGATGTTTCTCCTTTCAGTTGTACTATGCCCTTGACTTCATCATTGCCTCTCCTCATTCTTCCATTGTTATCTCTTCAGTTGCTATGGCTCTAGCATTATTTGTGTCCGTTTTCTATCCTTGAACTTTTCTGCATAAAAATCCGCCCATATGTCTAGAATTTCCCTTGTAGTTGTTTTTATCTCGATATATTTGTCTTTGACGGCTTTTATTTGTTTCCTTTGGTCTCCCTTCAGTTTTCTTATTTGATTCCAGAATTTCATGTCATTCGATCCGTATGTTTCACTTAAGTTTGTTCCGAAATCTTCCCAACTTTTCTTTTTCGCCTCCCTTACCATATTCTTAGCTACATCTCTTCGTTCTATAATATGCTCTATCTTCTTCCGAATTCGTTCTTATATATTTCGTCCATGACTTTTTCTTTTTCTTGATTGTCTATCCAACCTCTTCATTCCACTCTTGTGTTCTCTTTGTCTGATTATTATATTACACCTCCATAGCTTTATTTCGCATTATCTCTTTAAAAATTCTCCACCTCTCATCCAGTGTTAAATTCTCTGTTTGTTCCAGTTTTTGAAATTCGTTGTTTGTTTTTCTTGGTATTTTAGTCTTTCTTCCTCCTGCCTTTGTTTATGGATGTTTATTTTCGTGTATGTTTTCATCTCTTCTTTTTCGATGTCTATATTATTAATAGTTGCTATAACTAGTCTGTGGTTGGTTCCCATTTCTGTTTCTGCTTCAGTCTTTACCTCCGCGACTCTGTTTTGGAGATTCCGGGTGTATGTGATGTAATCAATAATACTCTTAGCATTCTTTTCTTTCGCAACAAACGTATATTTATCTTCATCTGACTTCACATAGTGTTCCCAATCAATAAGTCGTTTATTTGACAAAATTCTAGCATTCTTTGCCCATTTCTATTCATCACTGCCTCTCCTTGATCTCCATATTCTCCTATACTACCTCCCACTTGTATATATCATTACCTATTCTCGCATTCCAGTCTCCCATAATAATCACTTCCTCTCCTTGTTCTCTGGATTTATCGAAGGTTTTCTGCAGACTTGAGTAAAAATCTCGTTTTTGTTCTTCTTCTGTCCCTTCTGTTGGTGCATAGATTTGAATTACATTCACCTTTCCGTTTAGGTCAATTCCCAATTCCAGGATGGTGCATACTTATTTACTCTTTTATTTAGTTCCTCTGTTATAATTATTCCTACTCCCTCCTCAACCTCAATCCTGTCAAATTGCATCTGACCCAAAGGAAGGGTATCCGTTTCCACACAATCTACACTCTGCTGCATTGGAGAAGGATCAACAGAAACCGAAGAAAAGAAATCAGTTAACAATGAGCAAACCTCGACACCGTCACCGACAACAGTTCCACTCCATGATATCGTAGAAGGAATTCCGCACGCTTTTTAGACTTAGTAAAAGCCCAAAACACCTTTGGGTCAGATTGGATATTGATTTCAGCTGTTCTGTTATTTTTTTAAGGCGCATTTTTTTAGTTATAATTGAAATGTACAGGCTAGTATTCGAAAACTGAGATATGATCCCTAACTTGACTTTTTCAAATGAGAATTCACATTATTTGATCCACTTATAAACGGTTCCAAGTTGAGCTGTATTGGTGACCATAATTAAAATACAGTCTAAGAATAAGAACCACCTCATAACCATCAAGGGTGGAGGATTAATGATTCCCATGTATCGCTATGGACGGGTTGCAAGTACATTGTTGGCATCATAAACATCATGGTCCACTGTGAAACACTGTCCATGAGTTGGTCAAGATATTTTTCCAACATGATGGCACCAAGATTGGTTTAAAGGTTTTAACTATCTCTTGTTGATGAATAAAGAAGAAACATATCATGGCCATGGAGTTACTCACCCAGAGTAATAATCTGAATAAGTAGGAAAACCCATATAAAAAATTCATGTTCGAATTCAGGATGTGAACTCATAGAACATCCACACAGGTGTCCTCAATAAGTTCATTCAGCGCATACCTCAGTGATGTAAAGAGGTCATTCTCAGAAGAAGTGATAAGTAGCACTGCTAGATACACTAAGGTTAACATTCTCCCTATGTTTTGGGGTTGACACTACTTGATGTGATTACTCTATTTCATTTAAAATGCGAACAAAACGCATTACAGGAATTATCGACAAACATACGCGATTTTGTTTGTATGAGGTTATATTTCTCCAATTTTCTAACCACTATTAGACCACTTAATTAAATCAGTTACTTATACTTGTTGTGCAAAGTAACAATTTTATAGATTTCTAACTTCCAAAATTCTTTTTACTTACCTTAATTATGTGCACCTTTGGTTTGAATCTAGTTGAAAGTTGATTCAAAACTTCGGCGACGAGCTGTTGGTGCTTAAGCACCTTCCTCATTTTCATAATGCGCACAATAGCAGCCTGAATAAGCAACTTTCGATCTTCCTCAATGTGCTTATGCGTCGTTTCCTGTTCAAGTTTTAGTTCCGTTTTCATCGGGATATTTATATTTACGCGAAGTTTTTTACTAAAACGACAAAAAATAATGCAATAAAAAAAAATTTTTAAATTATACGGACGTACTTTTTATAACCTAAATATAAAGACACAATCGATTCCGGTCTCAGATCCATATCATCGTCGTCCGATGACAAAAGTTTCGCCTTGAGCAAAATTTGAAGCACCTGAACCATAAAGTCCGGCTTGATTTGGGTATTATCGCTAAGTTGTGATACCGTCCAACTTTCGGAAACGTTGAATTGTAAGAGCACAGCCATTTGGAAGGTACTAGCTTGAAGTGTATACCTAAAATTTATTTCAAACTTTACTATTCGCAATTATAACTGAAAAATTAAATAGTACATTATTCCAGTTGATGAGTTTGATGGATTGGTGAGGAGTGTGATAATTTATGGAGTGAAAATGTGGAGTTAGATGGTACACAAGATGGAAGAGATCCAGGAAAGATATTGGAGCTGGGTCTTGGTGTTGAGCAGGGAAACTAGATAAAGAGTGTTGGTTAAAAGTAGATTTAGAAGAGGAGAGAAGGATCAACGTTGTGGAAGGAGTTGGAACTCTACCTTCCAAGAACGTCGTGCTCAAGTGGTAGAGGGGAGATACAATAATAAGTATATGGTTTCAACGACAGAGGAAATGTCAGGGTATTTGATGGAGAAATGTGAAGAGGGGTACAAAATATTTGGTGGAGGATGAGGTAAGAACGTGTAGATTGTGTGGGGATGATTGAGAGACAATTGATCATATGCTGTGGGTAAACGAAATGGGATCATGTCGGTTAGGGGGAAAAGGAGGGGGTTTTAGTGTGTAAGTTGTATATTATGTATTACAATAAAGGATTAATGGAAAAATAAAAAATACCTATTTTTGAAACAATTAGTTAATAATTCTCCTTTGGACATATTATATAACCAATTTAATTTTCTACCAGAATGTTGAGCTGAGTAAAATGTAGTAAATCTATGTACACTGCGTTCGAGCTAAATAAAAAAAGAATGGTCATAAAATAATTAGAAATAAAATTGTATTTATTTACTTCTGAGGGTAATCCAAATGAAAACGATTGTTGAAAAGGCCAAGATCCCGATGAAAGCACTTGTATGCTAAAATCTATATCAAGAGCTTCGTTTGAATTTTTAAGATGCGCGCGGAACTGTTCATTCAAATCTTTCGAAACGCCAATATCCTAGAATAAAATCAAATTTTAATAAAATATTAAAAAGAAAGAATTATTTTAATTTTACTTGGAACATTCGTTGTAATTTTGAAGTATATTCAAACCCACAGGCTTGTTTCAATTTCGATATCATAGAAGCTTCAGCGTCATCACTAGCCGACATGTGTTGCACGAGTCTTTTAGCTAACATCTTACTATAAAACTTTTGGAAAACGTCTTTGTCTTCAATATATTTGAATACAACCATCTAAAAGAAACGAAAAATAATTAGATATAAAAATAACGGTTTTCACGGTATTAATTGATCTAACACTAGAACTAACAGTAGAACTAGAAACTTTCAGGTAAAACCTTCTTTAGAAACAAGTTCGAAGTGACAAAATCAGTAAGAGTTTGACAAAATATATATGAAAAGATAATTAATAACTAATTAGTGTCTAATTGTCAACTAAGTTGTTTTTGTCAAATCTAGGTGGAGAAGACTTCGTCAAGTTAACTAACATTTTCCATGTTAGAGCATTCTTATAGCAGTTTATATAGCATTCTTAGACATGGAAAAGGCCTTTGATAAAGTGCCAAGAAAAAAAGTATAAAATAAACTATCTAAAGAATTATAAAAATTGTGACATCATTCCCTCCTTTATTTCTAAAACTCCAATTATAACGACGTTTCGGGAAATGTTCCCATCATCAGGTTAATAATACTCTTATCTAAAGAAACACGAATTACTAAATTAAAAATAACATAATTACTATTACAAACATGAAAAACAATCTCCATACACTTAACTCACAAAAGATTTTTTGTTTAGTTTATAGAATATGATTCTTACCTAAGACTATTATCAATTTAAATCATTTATTAGACACACAGTTGAATAAAACACCAATAAAACCTTTGTTGATAACGAAGTATATAGATGATCTATTGATTATCTTGCCCAAAGGACAATATTCCCAATTGTTGGATGTTTTTAATGATTTTAATGATAGATTGAAATTCACGGTGGAAATACCGAAACAATCACAAATAAATTTTTTGGATATGTCAATTATCATCGATAATGACAATAACATAATAAGGACGAAATGGTATAAAAAAGATAAAAGCAGTGATAGACTATTGAATTACCATAGTAATCACCCAAAGTCGCAAATTATAAACACGATGAACAATTATATATATAGAGCGATAAAATTGACAGATAAACCCTTTTTGACAGAAATAAAACAAAAAATTTATGATATTTTGTTAAATAATTTTTGTCCCAAGCACTTGATCAATAACTCATGGTTTACGATACTAAACAATATACAAAGACTGGAAGTCACAACAAATAACACAACCCCACAAGATAATCATCAAAAAGCTGGGAATGCAGATGCAGAAAATGGGAAAGGAGATATGAACAAAAAGAATAAGCCAATTTTTAGACAATCCTTAATTACACAATTCATACCTAGACAGAGTAATATAGAGCAGATTTGTCAGGAAAACGATGTTAGTACTCAAGGAATTAATAGCAAAAGTACTCATAATAAAGAATTTTGTAAAATCAAATATATACCAGCACTAACAAATAAAATAACGAACATCTTTAAAAAGTATGAAATATCCGAAATAAAATTCGCTAAGTACAATAACAACAAAATCGGCACCTTAATATCAAACATGAAGGACAAAATCAAAACTTTAGATAAAGTAGATACTATATACCAATTAAATTGCATTGATTGTAATAAAATATATATAGGGGAATCAAAACAACATCTTAAAAAACGAATACAACAACACAAATACGATACTAAACAAATAAAAATTCAAAACAAAACAGCTTTGTGCCAACATTCTGTAACTTTAAGTCATAAGTTTGATTTCGATAATCCTAAGATATTAACAACAAATAAAAACATACAAATAAGGAAAAATTTGGAGTCAATCTTCATAACAAAAAATAATAATAAAACAGTTAATTTTAAAACCGATGTAGGAAGAATAGGGGCACATTATGCGGATATTTTAAATAAATTAGTGATATAATAGAATATAGGAGAGAAAACAGGTTTCGGACAAAGGAATACAATTGTTATCTGACCTTGTATGAAAATTTCTCTTAGACTTGATTCGTAAGCATGATAAGATGTATCGGAATAAATTTAAGAAACAATTAGTGATAAAAATTGATAATAGTCTTAGGTAAGAATCATATTCTATAAAGTAAACAAAAAATCTTTTGTGAGTTAAGTGTATGGAGATTGTTTTTCATGTTTGTAATAGTAATTATGTTATTTTTAATTTAGTAATTCGTGTTTCTTTAGATAAGAGTATTATTAACCTGATGATGGGAACATTTCCCGAAACGTCGTTATAATTGGAGTTTTAGAAATAAAGGAGGGAATGATGTCACAATTTTTATAATAAAATATACCAAAGCCTCCATAAACTAAAAATTATAGACTATCTAAAGAATTTGTTACTATAGAATAGTGATGGGACGGTATTTGAGGAACGGTATTTTGGAGCGGATTTCGTACCGCTTCCACGCGATTTTAAAATACCCGTTACAGAAAGTTACTAATATACTTACATATTTGTAGTGATGGTACGGTATTTGACGAACGATATTTTAGAGCTTTATTCTAATGGAACGTACCATTCCGGCGCGTTTTTTAAAATACCCGATTCCAAAGACAAAGACAGTCAGGTTAAACGCCGTTATATTGATATTTGTTCAAAGCTCCCTTAATATATATTTTTTTCAATTTTCGGATAGCGCGTATTTTTTTTTAAATTATGAGTAATGTTTAAATTATATAAATTATTAATTATGGGTAGGGAATATTTAATTTTTTCTTAATTTTCTTCTTTTTCTTAATTTTTCTTTCCGTGACCTTGTGCAACTTACACAAGGTCACGGTATTTTGGAACGGTATTTTTGTGTAGCGACCGTTCCTGGAGCGCGACACGGTTTTGAGCGGTATTCCCATCACCACTATAGAAGCAGCAAGATAAAGGTTATTATTTATAGCCTTTATGGATAAACTGATCAAAGAGACCCTAACAATAGTAAACCAATGTTCTAGGCTAAAGGAGTTTAAAACAATTAGTGTTTCTGAATGCGGCTTTGCAGATGATATCGCAATTCTAGCTGGAAGTGAAAAAGACTTTGAAGAATATATCATTATATGGATTGGTATTAATCGAAAATGAGATGAAATTAGATAAAAAGAAGAGTACAGTAATCCTCGACTTGCGTAAACCCGTAGATACGTAGTTAGGCGGTTCTTCCCCTACTTCGCTCAGTAGAAGATTGCATCATAATATATTAGCTCATTCACAGTAGTTTCGTATGATAATCCATCGAGATTTAATTAGTCACTTTATAAGAATATCTTTAATAGTGTTTTAGAACAACGTAAGCTTTATTCATTTCCTTACATATTAGTTATTATGTCAAGAAAATCCAAATATTCCAAGAAAACGTAAAACTTTAACACTTGAGCTTTTGCTCGGAGTAAAACACGGTATTGTGAAGGATTTTGAAGCAGGCATGAAAACATGTGAATTGGCACACAAATTCAACCTTGCTTACACTACTGTTCATAGAATAATAAAAGATAAAGTGAATGTCAAAAATTGTCTAGTAAACCAGAATACCATATGTAATCAAGCCAGGCAAATGAAAAGATTAAATTTTTGTAGGTGGTTGGTTTTATTGCAGGGAGTGGGGAAGCAGCAAGTGCCGATAATATCTGCTTTTCCTATCGCATTAAAGAAGTTAATAGAAGAAGGCGGTTATAGCATACAGACTATATTTAATGCAGACGAGACAGAGCTTATCTGGAACAAAATGCCTCAATGAACGTTCATTGCACGTCAAGAAAAAATATTTCCAGGATTCAAAGCATCGAAAGATCAATTAATAGTTATGCTTCCTGGAAATGCTGCTGGCGAACTAAAACCTTTGTTGGTGTTTCGCTCTGAAAACCTTAGAGCCCTAAAGAATAAAACAAAATCAGAATTGCCATTAATTTGGAAATCATTTTATTCCGGAAGTAGAACGGTACTGTTCCTCTAAGGACATTGCATTTAAATTGATATTTTTAAATGTAATGTCCTTAGAGGAACAGTAATAATTCACCAGAATTATTAAACTAGTCGTGTTTTCCTGAAACAGTTCTAGATACAGTTCAGATTCACCTGAAACAGTACTAGAAAACGATCTTATACTCAAAATAGCAGCAAATATTGTTACTTTAGGAAAGCAAGTCGATTTGGAGCTTGATAGCGAAGATGTCATTGCGCTCAGAGTCACATGATGAGGAGCTTACCCTTTACGAACTGATTGAAATCCAGCAAAAAAATGAAAATTTAGAAAATAATGTTGAACTAGCACAACCGGGAAAAGTCCTAACCATTGCAAAATTGACAGAAGCACTTAATTTCATATAGAATGACATAGAAATTTTAGAGGAAATAGATTACAATGAAGAGCGCGTAATGACAGTTAAAAAGAATATACTACAATCGATGGAATGTAATCAAGAAATTCTGAAGAAAAAGACATACATACATTGTAAAACAGTTAAATAATATGTTGCTTATTAATATTTATTGTTTCATAGAGTTTAATAAATACGGTTGAATAGATGTATTTTTTGTGTTAGCATTAATTTTGGTTCAAGCCTTTATTACTAAGCCCATATTACTGTAATGTTATATCTAAATATGTAACTGAAATGAAAACGTGAAAGCACCGTCATGCATAAACCATAAGTTAAGCGTGTTTCAAACGGAACGCCAACAAGTAAGATAGGTAGATCATTTTCAAAAAATGTCTGTAATTTTGCCCTTTTTTTCATGAATAAGTTTGTTGGTGTTTTGATTGTCTAATAGCGCGATTTGATGTCATTATGAAAATTCATAATTGCAGTCAATTTTGCTTCATCTCTAAAAAGCACAATGGATTGGAAGTTCCGAATGATGTATTGCTAAAGAAACCAGAAATCAAAATAGCATTTGTGGTCGAAAATCAGCATCATTAAGACTATATGTAGATTGTATGGGTAAAGCAGCTGTTTATGCAGAACTTCTCCATTCTGTACTATTCGCATTTACTTCTAAAGATAATTTCCTGGTAATGGTTTTAAAATTCTCTGCAATTCAATCGAGTACATACATCTTCTTTAAACGCCGGTGTTCTGGAATTCCTTGAACACCCACAATTTGAAGTATTCCGTTTAAAACATTTTGTTTCACGAAGATGTTGTTGAGATCTTCGATTCGGAAATGTTTCGATCTAAATTGCTGTTACCATTTGGTCGCCATACATGAAATGTAGGTCTGCCATTTCTTAGCTAGTGAAATTGATATCTAGTTTTCAAAATATAACATTGTTTTTGACTGACAATTAATAATAAACTCGGATAAAACGTGGTAGAAATAACAAGCTAAATAGTCTAACCATACCAAAATCATAAATAAATGAAGTGAAATTTGTTACTAATTAATCACAATTTTTGAATTTGTGTGTACTTTTTAAGGATGGATTTTTCGACACATGTTCATAGGAACTTTTATTACAGTTTTGTTCCTAACATCATGTTGGTGAAGTTTGGCCAAGTAATTCAGATTGCAAATTCCTCAATTTTTTTAAGTGTTGTCACCGTGAGATCAATCATTAGCAATCAAGAAAGCATATATTGAGCTTAATTCTAAAATTCACAGATCCAAGCTCCTTATTAATATATACCATTTTTAGAATCCAAGATAGAAGTACTGTCAAAATCAAATATCTTATGTTTGCCCTTCCTTAACATGATGCGCAACTGAAGCATTCATTTTTCATTATAAGATATCTCTGTTATACGAAATATCGCTATTGCTGCATGGAATTTTATAGGTGATATTTGACCTAAATAACGTCGGTATAGGATCTTTAATTCTTGAAAATAAACAGGAAAGATTTAAATTGTTGGTGTTAGGAAACCTCAGATAAGGGATCGATATTTTTGTCAAATAACAATCCCCCATTTTTATGACGGCGAAAGAGGATTTTTTCTGAATCTAGTGCAGTCAATATGAATATTGGTTACATAAGACAATTTTCGAGAAAAATTACTTTAAAGTTTAATTACTTCAAATTCGTATAATGATAAAAACAGTAGTAGCCATGAATAACTATGGTAACCAATTATTTTAAACAATTCCCTTGAGTGTCAAAAACTGATTTAGTAAAGCTTCTTGAAAGTGGTAGCGCCCCATCTTGTTGGAATTGAGTTCTGTCAACATTATAGGGATGGACATCATTTTGAAAAAATTTAAACATTTCTTTCCAGTTAAGATATCCTCAATTAATTTGGATTTTGGGTAGCCCAATAATGACAATTCTAGTCTATTTACTTGTCCACTCAATGTAACTGTTCCCTCGTCGGAAAAAATTATCCTTTGACAAAGTTTTCGTCGTCATTGCAAAAACTACGAATTACTATTAGGAATGATATTTTGCAGGTTTTAAAATTTTGTGAACCGTTGATGTTTAAATTGGGTCCAATACCCCCTACAATAACATGAGGGATTTCTTACCCAGTTTGTTGAACCTCCCCTGAAATATTTACTAGGCCAGACTTTGAGAAATGCTTCGAAAGATGCCCATACTTTTTAAATTTAGTCACAGCTAAGCTCACCATATTTTGGCTAATGACTTGCCGATCAGAATATATTGTATTAAAGAGGTCAACTACTTACTAATCAGTTTTTGACACTTAGGAAATTGTTTAAAATAATTGGTTGCCATAGTTACTCATGCCTACTGCTATTTTTATCATGTCAAGCAAATATGAAGTAGTTAAACTTAAAGTAATTTTTCTCGACCATTTTCTTATGTAACCAATAATATTGACTATATTAGATTCAGCAAAAATCCTCATTCATATTCCGTAATAAAAATGGGAGATTTCCATCGATGACGTCATAATTCGTTTAAAAATGGCCGAAAATTTTTAAATTTACAACAAAAAATTTAAATCGGTAAATAGGTTTAAATAAATAGCTTTAAATAGGTGTATTCCAACAAGCGGTCGGACTCGTCCGTTACTCGTCAAATGCAATCGCACATGTTAAGTAATGTCGTCACATTTCAGTGGATTTCATTGCATTATTTAACTGTGCGATTACATTTGACGAGTCCACGACGAGTTAAACCGCTGGTTGGAACAAAGCTAATGATTTTATCGCCTATATCCGCTACTTTACGGACACACTGTATATTTAATGATCTAACCTTGGTTAACTGTATGTTGTGGAGGTGTCCTGTCAATATTATTAGTCATATTACTGTTGTGATTAAGAATACCACCCAGAAAACGAGATGGAAAACCATTATTGAGAACAATACTAAACAACATTTTCCTATTTCTTTCCGAAAAAAAAACAGGGTTGAAAATTAATTTAATTCTATCCCACATGGCGACAATATACGGTTAATCTTTTGATTAATAGGATAATTAGAGTGAAAGTTTATGAATCCACCTGAATATGTAGCTATAGTGTACCAATCCAAGATAATGGTTTGGTCATTGGCAACCTTGGTGTTAATTTTATTCATTCGTTCAATTTAAATAACTTTAAGATGTTAATCTGCTCTCCAGGCTTCCTAAATATTTGTTATTAAAACCAAGCACGTTTTAATATGCCTCCAATGTGTAAGTGTTTACTAATTTTATTTCTTTTTATGTAATTTTAATTCTGAACTTTGTTTTTTAAATTGAATTGTTTGCCCTAAAGAACGAATAAAGTTATTTCCAAAAGGTTAAAAAAAGAAGTTAATTCCCTTTGCAGTCCATTTTATCAAAACCTTTCTAAAGTAACGACTATTATTCCTTTCTACCTAGTCTAACTCTAAGTTTACTGTTAATTCTAATGATATTTTAGTTAAAAAAAAATAACATACTCCTATATAATTAGATTATTATTTTTTACATACCACTTGATTAAGAGTATCTTCGAGTTCAGCTTCTTCCGGATTTTTACTAGATTTTTTCAATAAAAGATCACAATATTTCGCGAGAAGTTCAGGTGATTTAGTGCTCGAATTTGCGAACTTTGTAACCGCGTTAGCGTTTATAAATCGTCCACAAGCTTTGTCTAAAGCGGCTACAAAACCACTATCATTTTCAAAGGATACAATTACAAGAGCGTTGTATTTTTTATGGACTTCCAAAATTGTGTTAACATAGATTTTTGGATCCTAAAATAATTATGTTTAAAAAAACCATAATTAAATAAAAAATAATAAATTTATTTTACATTATGAGCGCTTTCACCGCATTTCTCAATAGCAGCAAGTCCTTGATTGGTGATGTGCTGTTCTAATAAAGATCGTAACTCTCCCAAACCTTCTGGAATGCGAGCAACCAACTTAAACATCCTTTCTAAATCACTATCTTTTTCCGCATCTAATAATTGTTGAAACTCGGCTTGGAATAGCTCCAAATGTTTTTGAATGAGGACTCTCTCGCAAGTTTTTGCTAATCGCTCGCTGGTGCTTTCGTGCAAATTAACTTGAACGCGCTTTTGTTCTTCAAGTAATCGTTGTTCAACCTGGCGAGAAAAAAATAAATATTTATGCTTAAAATAATCATTTTATTTACCTTCTTCATATACTCAGTAACCGGATTCTGCGCTAGAAAATTAGTACTCTCTCTAATATAATACCTTTCGGTATCTTCCAAGAACACATTTTCAAAACTTTCTTTGTACACACATAAATTAGATCCTTTCGCGCCCGGTTCTTCCTCATTTAAACCCAACTCAACGTAACAATTTATAACTCCAGAAACTAAACAGGTATTAATTGGTTCTCCGTTGCGTTCTTTTTCAATTAATTTTAATACTGCGTTGGTCACCTAAATAAATAATAAATAATCACACATATAGATATTTAATTAATAATTTAATACAGTAAAATATCGACATAACGGACTAATACGAAGATTGGGGTGACCGTTATAGAGAAAAGTCCGTTATATGAAAAACTTTTAATTTGCACTTTTAAGTGTTTGAATGAATAATTTTAATGTACACAAATTCGGATTGCTATCCACATCATTGCGTTCAGTCTATCTGGCTTTATATTTAAACCAATAAAAATATACCAAAATCTAACGCTAAATAACAATTAAAATTAGAACTAACACTAGAGCTAGAACTAGAAACATTCGGATTTAGCCGCACGTCTCTTAAGACGGCTAAACCCGAATGATTCTAGTTCTAGGTCTTGTGTTAGTTCTAGTGCCAAACTAGAACAAACACTACACCGACCGCTTTAAATAATGTTGCATCCAGAGTTAAGCTACTTGCAGTAAAAATGTACTGCAAGTAAAGTATTCAGTACTTTTTTACTTTAAGTAGTTTACTCTCAGTACTTTCAAATTCTAGGTACTTAATACTTGTACTTTCAGTATTTAGCTTAAAATGTACTGGATACTTGTTACTTGTTTGACATAAGAGGTACTTGAAGAACTATTTGTTTACTCCAAGTAGTTTATCTACTTCTAGTACGTTCAATAGTAAGTAAAATAACGATTTTTTAAAGTTTTCTTATATCTAACATTTATCATCATACGTATATTACTTATATACTTAACAGTGATAGTTTATACTTTATCATTAACCATTCACTACATAGTGTTCAATTCATTCCTAATTCCCATCCCATCTCTTTACTATTTTAAAATTTAAATTATGCAAAATAAATCAGTTTGTATTTTTGATGTTTCAATAAGTTTTGATAGTTGTAGTCAGAGAAACATGTTAACTCTTGTAAGGGATTGGCGACTGGCCGGCCCAGAGTCGGTTATTTCAAGTGCAGCTCATAATGCTTAGTGTAGGTGAATAACACTGTTCTACCGCGTGTAATTACTCAGTACAGGAGAATTATTTGAAAGGTAAGATTTAAAATACAAGATATATGTACTCTTCAAGGGTTGTAATTACTTTGTACTGAGTACTTGAAATTTTAGTTTCAAGTAAAATTACTTATTACTCCAAGTACTTTTTAAAAATACTTGTTACTTATTACTTGGAGTAAAAATAATTTATAGCGCTACTTGTACTGGTTACTGGCCTGAGAACCGAGAGCTGATAGCTTTTATGAACCTCAATTAATACCAGACTCAGACGACCTCTCTCTGTGTTCTCCACCGCCGGCCAGTTCATTTGTATCATCTAGATCCAGAACCATGGAATATTTTGCTGGCAGAGAGATCCCAAAGCGTGATTTGGTAACTTGGTTAATGAAAACGCGCTTTTTAGTAATATCAATTTTATAAACAAGATAAAATGTATAAAACGCTGGCTCTTGCCATATATGCAACTGGTTCTCCTTTATCTATGGTTGTACACCCACTGTGGGAGAAATTTTTTAAAATGCTTATATAGACCATATATACCTTGCCAACCAGAAAGAAATTATCCATAACTTTTTTGGATACGGAATATACGGATATGAAAAGTATAATTGATCAGCAACTGAAACAGGCTGAAATTCATTTGCAATATGATGGATGGAGAAAATTACGAAATGAGGGAATAGTAAATTTTGTGATATCAAAACGCGAACCAGTGTTTGCGGATTTTATTTCTACAGGGTCTAGCAAACACACAGTAGAATATCTTAATAGTGAAATAAAGAAGATTGATAAATTTAGCGCCGAAAAGTTCCTTGTGGTAATCGGAGACATTGCTGCTAATATGAAAAAAGGCATTTAGGCTTCTAGAAGACGACTATACGCATATCGTACCACTGGGTTGCTTAGCTCATACTCTTCATCTTCTGTGCATCAATATCTTAAATTTTCCACCTATACAGAACTTAATAAAAACGCTACACAACATAATTAATGTAATAAAACGATCCCAAATCTTATTTTTTCTACTTGTGCAAATAAGCAAAACGAAGGAGCGTGAAGTTAGTTTGAAACTACCATGCCAAACGCGATGGCGAAGCCATCTCTACTGCATGGAAAGCTTAATATCCAACAAAATCAGTCATCAAACTTTAGTTGTTCACGAAAAGGCAACGTCATTGGATAATGATATAAAAACTCGTTTACTAGATGACACTTTCTGGGGGCAAGTACAACAAATTCGTAACATTCTGGACCCTATTGTTTTACTAATAACTACCCTAGAATTAAACACCCCGATTATCCACAAAGTGCACTCTCTGAAATAGAACTAAAAATTATACGTAGCATTTCAAATTTTTGCACATCTGAGGAAGAGGAAGATGCAATAACTCAAAAGATTTTTAATCGCAAGGAATTTGCTACATGTCCGATTCATCATCTACTGAATCCTTGTTCTAAACGAAGCAGTTTATCACCGTCGGAGGAAATAGACGCAATGGCAGATTTGGCAAATTATAAATTAAATCATAGATTGTGGGCAAAAAGGTTCTTGTGGACCAGTGTACTAAACATGAATGAACCATGAACCAGTTGCATGGTGGAAGATCCTATGTAGCAGGTCCAATCTGAATAAGGTTGCTGTTAGGTTTTCATCAGCCCTAGTGCCTTCAGCGACCACAAAACGGACATTCAGCACATTTTTGTGGACACATAGCAAGAAAAGGAATAGGCTGGAAACAGAGAGGGCTGGTAAAATTACTTTTCTTGTCCATAACTGGAAATTAACCAATTCTGAAGTAACAGAAAAGGAAGAACAAACACAGGTAACTACAAACGAACCCATCAAAGGAAGCACAGTGGATACAAAAGACATATTACATTTCATATTATTAAGATAATATGATAACCATTTCATATTATTAAGATAATATGAAACGGTTTTCAACGAAAGTTTTCAAGTTACATAATTGTACTCTTACAATTTATAAAAGTAAGTCAAAGAAAAAAGTACTTTTACTTAGCTCCAAACATAGATCTGTGAAAATTGAAAAAAAAAAGGATAAAAGTTTACCTGAGACCATTTCATATTATAACCGAACTAAATTCAAAGTCTCATAGATGCCCTCTCCAAATATTTTTCAATATCCTTAATTTAGCAGACATAAATGCTCGGATATTACATAAGGAAACGACGGGACAAAATATATCTAGACAAGATTTTTTACTGCAGTTAGCAGTAGAACTTGCCACTGATTATTGAGAAGCCAGAGAAAACGAAATAACAATAACAAATACGGAAATAACATCGACTAATACAACAACAGATTCTAATAAACGTAAAACATGCCAAATAAAGTATTGTAAAGACAATAAAACCACAAAAATCTGTTCTAAATGTGGGAAATACGTTTGTGGAAAATGTACATTGAAACCTCCTCGTATGTGTAAAAACTGCAGAGCTCAATGAATTAGTTATTAAAAAGTTTTTGTTGTTTATAATGGTGGGAAAAATACAGTTTTGTTTAATTATTACTTTAAAGTTACTTTGTTTAATATTTCCTTCTAATAAATCCATAATTACTCAGGTGTACATGTTAAAGTAAGGTGAAAATTAAATGACCTCTTCCTCAGTTTTCAATTAGATATACTTATTGTTATATCATCATCAGAATAGTCAAATACTTAAGAAAAGTGACGAAAGATAAAATAATTTAAAAAACTAAAATAGCGGAAAATAAAATTGTAAAGCAGACGACATTAAACGACACTACAGGTTAAAAAAAAATGAATGATGAACGCTAGATACTGCTTACGATATACTGAAAACTGCTTGCAGAACTGACTAAAACTGCATGTTGAAGACAGATATTATGTATTGAAGGTTAGTTACTGCTTCTAATATACAAGAAATTGTTTGTAGAAGACTAGATATGGTTAGTAGGAAGTAACAGCTACTTGCAGAGTACAGATAGTACTTGTAGAAGGGTAGGTACTGCTTTCAATATACTAGAAATTGCTTGTACAAGACTAGAACTGCATGTTATAGACAGATATTATGCATTGAAGGTTAATTACTGCTTCTAATGTACAAAAAATTGCTTGTAGAAGACTAGATATGGTTAGTAGGAAGCAATAGCTACTTGCAGAATACAGATAGTGCTTATAGAAGGGTAGGTACTGCTTTCAATATACTAGAAATTGCTCGCAAAAGACTAAAGCTGCATGTTGAAGACAGATATTTTGTATTGAAGGCTAGTTACTGCTTCTAATATACAAGAAATTGCTTGTAGAAGACTAGATATGGTTAGTAGAAAGCAAGAGCTACTTGCAGAATACAGATAGTGCTTGTAGAAGGGTAGGTACTGCTTTCAATATACTAGAAATTGCTTGAAGAAGACGAAATACTGCGGTCAGAAGACTAAAACTGCATGTTGAAGACAGATATTATGTATTGAGGCTAGTTACTGCTTCTAATATACAAGAAATTGCTTGTAGAAGACTAGATATGGTTGGTAGGAAACAACAGCTACTTGCAGAATACAGATAGTACTTGTAGAAGGCTAGGTACGGCTTTCAATATACTAGAAATTGCTTGAAGAAGACGAAATACTGCGGTCAGAAGACTAAAACTGCTTGTTGAAGACAGATATTATGTATTGAAGATTAGTTACTGCTTCTAATATACAAAAAATTGCTTGTAGAAGACTAGATATGGTTGGTAGGAAGCAACAGCTACTTGCAGAATATAGATAGTGCTTGTACAAGGGTAGGTACTGCTTTCAATATACTAGAAATTGCTTGAAGAAGACGAAATACTGCGATCAGAAGACTAAAACTGCTTGTTGAAGACAGAACCGATTTTTATACAAGGTTTGTGTTGATTTAAATAGCATATCCAGCGCCTCGCCAGCAATCAACCTTGGCGAAGTGNCTAAAACTGCTTGTTGAAGACAGAACCGATTTTTATACAAGGTTTGTGTTGATTTAAATAGCATATCCAGCGTCTTGCCAGCAATCAACCTTGGCGAAGTGAGGATAAACAGTCAAATTAACGATATTATCTATCATCATCTTCTATCACCAAGTGAGGGAGAAGAAAAAAAGAAACGAATTCTCTGTCAGATATATCAAGTTTGTGCTTATCTAACGGTTGTATCTGGTTCAGGTTGACGTTTATCTGGACAGCAGATTAACAGGGGGAGAGATTTGAGATCATTTTTCATTGAAAAAAAATATTTTAACCATTTTTTTTAACCTGTAGTGTTGTTTAATGTCGTTGCTTTACAATTTTATCTTCTACTGTTTTCGGTTTTTAAATTATTTTATCTTTTGTGACTGTTCTTAATTATTTGACTATTTAGCTGATGATGATTTTTGTATATTGAAACTGGTACTAACTATATCTAATTGAAAACTGAGGAAGAGATCATTTAATTTTATATTAATAGTCTTTTTTTAAAAATCAGTCATTTGACTGGTTGCACTGCAAATAGGTATATATTAAGTCTCTGTATGTTTAGTGTTAATGTATTAATGTATTTTGTATGATTTAAAAATATTTTGTCTGTTATATCTGAAGTAAGTTCTAAGGGTGTCCGTTATATTGAGATTTTAATGTATTTAAATAAAAATTTTAGTACTAACTTGTTTGTGTAATTGTTTAAAGAGATTATCTCGCCACGTTACTAACGCTAACTGATAAATTTCGTAGATGCCTTTACGACCTTCCTCACACTCCCTTTTCACCCAATGTCTATTCAAGTATGCACAAATTCCACTTATCGCTTTACTACTAAAACGATATCTGTCCCATTGTTGAGTATAAAAGTTTAATACATCTTCATCCATTAGATTTACTCCTTCCTAATAACACAAAAACTTATTTTTTTAATACTCAAGATCATTAAAGAAAATGTACCTGTAATTTCAATATGGCATAATTCTTAAGAAACTGTTTAAGTCTTTGATATAATTCCCACCCAACCAATTGGGCACCTCCGGTTAAATTTTTCTTTCCTTTAGCAATAGAAGCACTCCTTTCATTACTTTTATGCACAGAAGTACAATAGTCATGGACATACGAATATAATTGCATATATTGGGGACAAGAAATCTTTTGAAAACTATACACATATTCTATCCCTTGATTAAGTTCTTCCCAGATCTGATCCAAATCAATGGGTTTCAATCCGGTTCCATAGCTCCCACTCATTGCTGTACTTCGATTTGACATGGTTCCAATTTAAGTGCACAGTATACAGATTCGATTTGATTTATTTATATACTGAAAACATATTAATAAAAATTAATTGTATTAAAATCTGTATGAAGGCCAAATTTAAATTTCTCTTTTGTATTTCACAATATAGGAAAAACAATTAAAATTTGATTTGTCAATAAGGTTGAATGAGGGGTAATTAATAAAAAAAATTAGGCGATAAATTGGGTGTATATGAACAGGGATAAATGATCAGGATAAGATTACCATCACAAATCCCAAAAATAACGTCCAAAATCGCGTGGATTCCTCGTCTTTTGTTAAGGAAAATGTAATGCATATATGGTTACGTCTGGGTTAAAAACGGCATGGTACTCACCAAGGTTAAAACATAACAGCAATTTAAAAACAACAGCTTTGCAAAACGTATTTACTACCTGGAACTTGTAATTTGTTATTAATATTTACTATAAGGTACTAATTTGTTGTTTTATTTTCCGAGATATCAGAAGAATTGACAGCTACAGCCAACAATAGAATAAAGAAATTGAAAAAGCGAATTTTATACGAAATCCGACTAATTAAACTTACATTTAAAACAAACTTTAATTGTTATCGCCTTTTATGATTTGCGTTATAACGAAATCTTGAATTTAAAGTTTATTTTAACGCGTGATTAAATTAAACGAAAATGGTTTAGTCACTAAAAATCTAAATCGGTTGGCTACACTTCTCAATAAGAAGATATGTCAAAAAATTATGTGTCAAGTGAAATTAGCTAATAAAAGAAATTTTAATTATAGAATTTTAATTTAAATATATTAACTTTATTTTTATTCGAAATAAAATTAATAATAATTGTTTAATTAAAATACTTAAATTTGAAAAGTAGAAAGTTTTGTAATCAGATATTAAAAACTTATATAGTGTGAAGATAGGCTTCGTTGACATTTAAATTAGTAATTAAACTTTTAGTAATTTTTAAGAAATTATTATTACAATCTAGTTTTAAAGGACATTTATACGTTTTACTGATTTTTATTAAAAAGTCTAATTTTGTGTCTTTGTATTAGAATAAGAACCAAGATTAATACTGAAATTTCAGGAGATCCCATAGATAAAAATGTCAGATCTAGATTTGCATTGATGATAACTGTTTGTGAAGCAGCGCTTGTTCTATAAGGACGCAGGAGACTTAACCCAGGAAAGAAAGTTTGTGTGTGACTATTGATTATGGTCAAATCTGCTATTACGTACATCTACCTCCCTTTAGTTAATGGATAGTGATGGCTCCATGGTCGGATTATAAAGCAAGATTTGCTGTGAGACCTGTGAGTGGAGGCCACTCAGTTGATCCATCCTTTAGCCACATCACTTCTTAAAGTGATGTGGCTAATTTCTATAAACCATGTAGGTCTGCAATTAACGTTTGCTACCAGAAATATGTGACATTATGTTGAGCTCTATTTGAACTAGCACTGTTGTTTCTTTTTTTATCTTGGGGCATCAACAACGATCTATTTAAGACTTGTCTGTTTAAAAGTAGCGATTCATCGAAGGCAAACAATAATAACGGAGACACGAAAGGCGGATATAATTATCTGTTAACTGGGTGATGAAAATTAGTGTTATTAAGGCGGGTTATTCTTAGAAACCAGACCATTCATTATAAAAAGGTTAGTGTTAGGACAGAAAGGACGTCCTTTTATTGGCGCCGATCGAGCGATTGCAATATAAAAATCGTTCTAATTACTCGAAGAAGATGCTATGTTTTCTGCAACCAAGTCAAGCACAAAGTAACCCATCTCCAAAACCATCCTAACCCTACTATCTTCAATGACCATCGCACGATTTGTAATAATCTCATCAACAACACTCTAACAAGTTGGAATGTCGGCAGAACTAGCTGTTTATGATTAAGTAGATATTGGTGGATGAAAGAGGAGAAATTATGAACGAATAATTGAGAAGTCATGGTTGAGGAGGTGAATGAGTACGGGTTGATTGAACTAATTTTTAAAAAAGGTTGTGGTGTGGGAAAGAAATTAATGAAAGCAGAAAAAAGTGTATGGTAGAATGATTTGTACACTGAAAGATGGAGAGGAAAGAACTTATTGATACACTTTATCATTTTATCCAAACAATGAGCAGAATGGTAAGCGATGCAGAACTATGACAAATTAACGAAAAAGGAAAAGTTTTCTTATAGGAATAAGCGACAGAAGTGCACCATAGTGGAGTGATGACGTATTCTCTTGTATTTACCTCCACCGGTACGTCTCAAAGATTCATCGAGAAGAACACGTGCATTAGAGAGAAGAGAAAAGTGGGTGATTGGAGAAAAAATTTGATGATTGCATATAAAAGAGAATACATGCTAAATAAGGTAGAATCTTAGAAACGGTGTGAAACCCATTGCCATGAAAAAAGTGAAGAAGAAGAGTATATATGTATAAAGAATTGAATGACTGTATAAAGAAAAAGATCTTTCCAAAGGTATATAGACTTTCCAATCATGATCGACTAATTCTAGCGGAAAGGGTGGGTAGGTTAATCTTTGTACAATGTAAGATGATAAGGCAGCATTGTATGGATGTAAGAATTTTAAGTCTTGCCCAGTACTGTAATATGTTGTACGCGAGATGTATGGTTATTATGGTACATTTGTGAATTACAAACAGACTTTATTCATAGGAATCAAACATACACTAAATAAAAGCGTGAATTGTTTGTTAGCTATTTCTCAAAATAATCGCCTCCAACGTTAAGGCACTTATCCCAGCGAGGCATAAGCTTAGTGTTACTTCATCTTGAAGTTCATCGTCGTTTTCAAACATTTTACCCCAAGAATGAATTTCAACGACCCAAATAAATAAATATCAGAAGGAATCAAGTCTGGACTATGGGGTGGTTGGACAGAAATTTCCCAATTGTGTTTCTGAAGCCAGGACTTCGTCTGATTTGAGGTGTGCGGTCTTGCATTATCATGCAACAACTTGATTTCTTTCATCAAATTTTTCAACTCATAACGCCTTCTTCGTAAGTCTTCAGTATTTTTGTTCACTCGCCGCGTTTACATTAAATTGACATCAGTTTACATCAAGTATCCCTTTTCTTGGACAAGCTAACGTTACTGACACTTCGAAAAGAAACATCTTTCACTCTTACCTGAAATGTAAGAAAGAAACGACCAAGGTGAAGAAAGTCTAATTGTAAGTGAAGAAAGTGGAGGAGCTCCATTTCATGCAAAACGATTTCGAAATTTCTGGCGACTGTGTTATCGCTGTTTTCAGATTTCAAGATAAGATTTCAGGATTTTGTCAGCGTTTCATTTGTATTTTGCCTTCTGGTGGCCTTCCTCATTTCTTGTTCACCTATTTTGATTTTGCATAAATATTGGAATGATTCTATTTCTTTTTACAATCTATTAGACAATTTATTGCATAAAGCTTTAGTTTCAAGATTTCTGAGGCGTTACTATTCCCTACGAGCGTTATGCTTTTACTTATTCAATGCACTAATTTGGTATTAAGTTCACCTAAAACAATATACTGGGCATGCATATGATAGCTAAGCTTGCTTAACTGAATGTCTAAAATATAAAATTACATCTGTATGGGTAATATGTATAATCGATTGGAGCTGCAATTTGAGATTTTGAATGCTAAAAAGATTCACTATTTTTTTACCTGAAGCGTTTGAAGTAGGTACTTGAAGTGTCGCACCCCTAGGCGTGGTATTTACTGTTTATATCGCCAATTATTATTGTTGGTTCTTTGATTTTGAACAATTCTTTTATGTTACTTTTTAAAACCATATTATATAGACGTTGTCTCGCTTTTAAACGTTGCTTTATCTGTCGTTTCAATCGTGATTGATATTGTTTCGATTGTTTTAATCAGTATTGCCACACGTCCTGATGCAATTCAGTGTTTTCTGTTGTTACGGCAAATTGTGAAATCGGGTAAAAGTTTAACCATTGCTGAGCTACCTATTATGCAATCTTTAACCCTTTCGGCACCGAGCCGGATTAGATAGCCGTACCTCAGCGGCCGGCACCAACGGCTATGTGTATTCGTGCGGTTCTGGTCCTGTATATGACTAGTATATGATGAAAAAATAGGGAGAAATTTTCTAACAAAATTTATTAAAACAAAATCATGTCACATTTCAATATAACTCCTCATCTAGTAGCATTTGAAAGTCATGAAGGTCTACGACAAGGAGATGGGCTATCATGTCTCCTTTTGCGAGATGCGGCACTCCAAACATCAATATTCAACAAGTCAGCGCAGATCTTGGCATTCTCAAAATTCAGAAAACAAGGTAAAGAAAACCTTTAGAAAGTTGACTTTAAGATAACTTTTACAAAGACCAAGTACAGGCTAACGGTGGAAACATACTAGTACATTTGCAATTTATCAAAGTGTAAATGTTGAGATGAATTAGCCTTGTAGTCAGAAGAAAAGTACCGCAAGGTTTATCTTTGTTCTCCGTGGACCTGTGGGTAGATTTTGGTTGGAATGTCGAAGAGACGATTTATGGACCATGTGGAGGACGATCTAAGAATGTTGTAGGTCAGTCAGGGGTTGAAGATGATAGGCGCAGGATGGACAAGTTTGGAAGAAACTGTTAAGGCAGGCCCAGGTTCACAACGAGCTGTGGAGCTCATTTCACGTATAACATCGTAAAAAAAAAATGTTTGTGGTAAAGTGCAGCGCCAATGTAATGAACAGCTTTACAAACTGTGTATAATTATATAACCTATAACACCATATGATCGTAATCGTATGGTTCTGGTCTTTGGTCCTTGAGGCACTTTCTATTTTGCGTGTTAGACAATGTAAAATTTTTTTTTTGTATGCCCATATCTTTGGCATCTGTAGCATTGCGGCAATCCTGACTGTTTTTTTGCTATATTCTATAACAACCATTATTAACAACTATAAAACTTTCGCGGCCGTTATAATTTGCAGCGAAATCAGCAGCACTTATTTTATAGAATATATTTTATCAAATATCGTTCAGCACGATTTATTTTTAAACAAATCTTGCATGAAAAACCTTTAGCACACATAAACACTAAGTCCGGTTTTTGATGGACACTGTGTATTTCGACCGAAAATAGTGAGGTTCTTCTTCTTCTCCCCCTGATCCTTAAACCTGATGGCGTCGTATTCCTCCATCCACTTCTTCCACTCCCTACAGTTCCTGGCTAATTCATTTATATCTGATAGAGTCTTCCCTCTTTTCTTCCCAACTTCTGCTATTCTTTCTTCCCACTTCTTCCTAGGTCTTCTCCTCTTTTTCTTATCATTATTCTTTGCTTCAAATACCTTTTTTACTATTGTGTTATGTTCCATTCTAATTATGTGGGCGTACCAGTTTAGTTGCTTTCTCTCTATTTTGCTAATTATCTCCTCTTAATTTACTCCCAGTCTTATTTCATCATTCCTTATTTTATCTCAATTCGTCTTCCCCACTATTTTCTGTAAAAATTTCAATTCCATTGCTGTGATCTTTCCTTCTTGTTTATCTTGAAGTATCCATCATTCACTGGTATTTGTTAATATTGGGACCGCCACTTTCAATTTTATCTTTTTATCTAATTCTTCCTACAAATTGTTTTGTTTAGAGTATGATATACGTTGTTTGTTTTTCTTCTTCTTGCATTTATGTCTAAATCTATCCTTCCATCTTGTGATATTATACTGCCCAAGTACTCATTGAAAATTGTGATGTTAAGCAGTCTTAAAGAGGTCCACGTGTTTGCCACAATGGACAGACAGAAGAAGCCGTTATTGGCGTGATCACTAATGAACTTTACGTAAGCGCGAGAAGAGTATCCAGAAGACTTGGACTTTCTTAATTTTTTGTGCATCGAACATTACGGCGAGAAATGCTACATCCGTATCACATTCAGCCAGTGCAAAATTTACAACCATATTGTTTAATTTAATTGTTTGGTCTAACGAAGTAACTTTTACAAGAGATGGTGTCAATAACGTGCATAACAGTTACGTGTACTTAGTAGAGAATCAGCAGAGCATTAGGATCAGGGATGCTACTACACATGTTTGAGGTACTATCTTCAACACAAAGATATTGCCATCTCTGTTCATCGATCAAAGATTAAATTCAGACGCTTATCTAAATCTATTGGAAAACACAGTGGAAATTATCATGGATGATATTCCGTTGGTACAGATGGGAGACATTTGGCACCAATATGATGGTGCACTTCCACACACAGCAAGAAGAGTTGTTGCGTGGTTAAAAAACCATTTTAATGCAAGGTGGATTGGTCGTCATAGATGTTTTTGGTGGGGATATTAAAAAATTTAGTATATGAAGTAGAAATTACCACCATTGAACAACTACAAGAAAGAATAATAAATGCGGTTGATGAATTGAATTCATTACAAAGTTCCTGTGCTAAAAAGTTTACGTTTTAAAACTTGGATAACTCGTTTATAACTTGTTTAAAATTTTATTTTGTATCAGAATCCAAAATATTGCACACGAGTTATGAATCACCTATATGTATATTAAGTGCTGACTATACATTTTTTTATCGTAAATAGTGGGGCATGTTAGTAGTTATTAATCAAATATTCGACATTTGGGGCACAATTCCTTTCTTTGGGATCTAAATGATGGTATATTAAATGAAATTTTAACCTTCTTACTTAATCCTTGTACACTACAGAATTGTGATATTCTGTGGCTGCATCTTGTAATTGTTGATTTTCTATATTTAACAAAAAAAAGCATTAACGGAAATCTTATTAATTAATTAATAAAGACTTTTTTGAACAAAATCTTTCATTTAAATTAAATTTTAATTGTAAATTAATCAAAAAAAGATTTAGTTACTAAAAACAAAACTCGGTTGGTAGTCCTGTTTGAACTAACAATCGCGCAAATTGAGAAGTGTCAAAAAAATATATCTTGTGTGAAGATAGGTATTGAAGTTGCCGAACGACGGACGAAGTCTCTCATTAAAATTTATTTTAAATAATTGTGCTTACGTCCCGAAGGATCGGTTTAAATTAAGTTCTCAAGTCGCTTTAATAGTGTTCAAAGTGTTTAAAATCGTTAAAATGGCCGACAAAAAAGGTAAAAACATCATGGTTCTTTTTCCATAAATTTTTTTTTAGACGAACGATGAGTCAAGCAAAAAGTTATTTTTAATCGGATTCTAAGTTCCCAAATAAAATTAAAGACGCGTTTCAAAACATTGTTAGATCTTTGCCGAACCGGAAAATCATACCGAAAATAATTGCATAATGTTTTAGTGTGCAGGATACACTCAATCAATACTAAAATACTACATCGTTCCGTCCTTGTTGGGATACTCGTTTCCGCGTCTTCCTTCTCATTCCAACCGGAATATATTTTATGGCCTTGCCCTACATTGCAAAATACTGCAGTGAGAAGATGAAAAATGAAAAAAAGAATCTTTAAATTGTTTCATTTCGATTGATTTTATGGCTTACTTTCTTTTAATTGTTTTATTTTTTCCTATTTTGGGGAGAATTGTGCTGATGAAATAATAAGATTGTAATAAATTATTATTATTATTATTTCATCTAATTGTTAATGGTTATATCTTGAAATCACTCAAATTTCTTTAATTCATTAATGAATTAATTACAGATAATTTTTTTATTTCAAGTTTTGATTGATTTCAATTTATTAACCATTAACATAATATATTAAACTGAAGAACATGGAAATTTTCATCACATCTTTTATGTATGATTATGCTGTGTTCCTTCCAGCGCGCTTAAGAAACGCTGTTGGGGCCATTGAGACCGTTGCGGGACACCCAGGAGGACAACCAATTAAACAGTACCTATTAAAAATTTTCATGTGTTTACTTATACAGTGGCTGATGCTTGTTGGTTACCCGCTCATCGAATTTACCTTCACTAGATATTTTTTTGGTTGGATTTGCTAATAACGTTGCATTTCCAAATCAATTTTTAGAAACAATCTCATTTTTAACGTGTAAAAAGGATAATGCGCAAAATGATGATTCATTTTTATCGGTTTGATTATTATTTTACATCAGATAAGAAATATAACAATATTATTGAGCAATAAATTATTATGAGTCATCTTAAAGGGAATTAATTTTTTTATTGAGAAAGATAAATAAAAGAAATGCAGCGTTATTATCAGCTGACGATGTAAAAAGCTCAGTCGACCAACTTTAGACTTGATGGTCAAATTCACTGCATGATGGTTGAAATTTGGAAAATACGTAACAATTTTTTTTGTACTTTTAATATTTATAAGTACTAAACTTAATAAAATCAATGCACAAAATACAATCACAAAATTATCTTTTAGAGAAGATGAGAAGAATGAAGTAAGTATTTTGGGATTGTAATTACATGAATAAAACATAAAAAAATAATTAAGTTGGATTTCAACATAGAAGATTATTTATAGTGTAGTAGGTGTACTTACATCTTTGAAACCATATTGATTGTGTCAAAGAATTAATTACATTGCAAATCATTTCAAAATTAAAATTCTTTTGGTCTTGTGATAATCCAAAAGCCCTTTACTACACATGACTTAAAATTAACTATGTAAAACTCATCCAATAATATTAATTAAAATTATTAAATAGAAAATTAATTATCCCGTTCTGAAGCGATTAATATTCCATGTTACAAAGCTTGTGTTGAATAATTCTGTTTCGTAAAAGTAATCAAATTTTGGTTGCAGTTTTCTGGTTTATAACCAAGACCTTAAAAACTACGAAAATGTCTTGTTGCTGTAGTTCTTTATTTAATGAATCATCTATTAATTTATTGCTCAACAAAGATTAATTACAGGACAATATTACAAGAAAACAGAAATAGCACAAGCCGCCATCTCCAAAAAACACTTTTTTTCAGGAAAGTATAAAAACTGTAGCAGCAAAAATAAGAGTTCAAACATCTCACAACTGTTTTGTATGACTCAAAATGAAATATTTTAAGCATTTTTCTCAAAATTTTGAATTTAAGTTGAAATTTGGCCGGTTTTGACACTTTATTAATTTTATTTTTTTCTTTTATTTTATTTGTGTTCAATAACAAAACTGTATTTAACCAAAATTATAACAGAACACTAACTTAATGGATAAAACAAAAATACATTGCGCAACGCATTAACGGATCTACTAAATTCTTGTTTTAGTTTCTTCTGGGGTCTTTTCGCAAAGAATATTCTCTTCTACAGTAAACTCTTCCTCGCCCGGTTGATTTCTAAAACCCATTTGGGAAACATCATTGTTTCACTCAAGAGAATCGATCTGCTGCCAATTATCGGCATAATGTTTTTTTAAAAGCTTATCAATATCGTGAACTTTAGAACCATTTAAGATTCTTCCGGTAGAAATTTGTTTAGGATTAGCTTTGTTTACACATTTTCCCTTTCTACAAACTCCACTGTAACGTCCTAGCTCGGACTTATAAGTAAATTCTCCTGGGATAAGAATGCTGTTTTTTTTTTGATTCCTTTTAATAAAGAAACGCTTAGAAAGTGCAAACTTGAAATGCCACTGCCCTGGTGGCTTCATAATAATATTAACTTCACTTTTCCAATCAAGATCAGGAACTTCACTTTCCAAATGAAATACTTGGCTATACCTTTGCAAAATTGTGTAAAATTCCTCTGGTTGAGAAAGTACCTCCTTCTTTCTGATCTCTGCAAACACTTTATCGGGCAGAATAAATGAATGTCCAGGAACAGGGAAAATACATTCTATTTTTTCAAGTGTTGAAGGCGCCTCGTGTAGGAGCCACTTTCCAAGGTGTACTTACATCTTTGAAACCATATTGATTGTGTCAAAGAATTAATTACATTGCAAATCATTTCAAAATTAAAATTCTTTTGATCTTGTGATAACTCAAAAGCCCTTTACCCATGACTTAAAATTAACTGTGTAAAACTCATCCAATAATATTAATTAAAATTATTAAATAGAAAATTAATTATCCCGTTCTGAAGCGATTAATATTCCATGTTACAAAGCTTGTGTTGAATAATTCTGTTTCGTAAAAGTAATCAAATTTTGGTTGCAGTTTTCTGGTTTATAACCAAGACCTTAAAAACTACGAAAATGTCTTGTTGCTGTAGTTCTTTATTTAATGAATCATCTATTAATTTATTGCTCAACAAAGATTAATTACAGGACAATATTACAAGAAAACAGAAATAGCACAAGCCGCCATCTCCAAAAAACACTTTTTTTCAGGAAAGTATAAAAACTGTAGCAGCAAAAATAAGAGTTCAAACATCTCACAACTGTTTTGTATGACTCAAAATGAAATATTTTAAGCATTCTTCTCAAAATTTTGAATTTAAGTTGAAATTTGGCCGGTTTTGACACTTTATTAATTTTATTTTTTTCTTTTATTTTATTTGTATTCAATAACAAAACTGTGTTTAAACAAAATTATAACAGAACACTAACTTAAAGGATAAAACAGAAATACATTGCGCAACGCATTAACGGATCTACTAAATTCTTGTTTTAGTTTTTTCTGTGATGTTTTCACAAAGAATATTCTCTTCTAGAGTAAACTCTTTCTCGCCTGGTTCATTTTTAAAAGCCATTTGGGAAAGAATGATGTTCTTGTAAAAGTCAAGGGAATCGATCTGCTGCCAATTATCGCCATAATGTTTTTTTAAAAGCTTATCAATATCGTGAACTTTAGAAGCATTTAGGATTCTTCCGGTAGAAATTTGTTTAGGATTAGCTTTGTTTACACATTTTCCCTTTCTACAAACTCCACTGTAACCCCCCTAGCTTGGACTTATAAGTAAATTCTCCTTGAATAAGAACACTATTCTTCTTTTGATTCCTTTTAATAAAGAAAAGCTTGAAAGGTGCAAACTTGAAATGCCACTACCCCAATCGAGATCAGGAACTTCACTACTCAAGTGAAATACCTGGTCATAGCTTTGCAAAATTCTGTAAAATTCCTCTGGTTGAGAAACTGCATCCTTCTTTCTGATGACTTTTTCTATTCCCGCAAACACTCTATCGGGCAGAATAAATAAATGCCCAGGAACAAGGAAAATGTGTTCTATTTTTACAAGTGTTAAAGGTACCATGCATAGAAGCCACTTTCAAGAATTAACATAAGAATTGAATTTTTATTTTCGCCTCCACAACCATCTGCAATGCATCAATGCAAACAAGAAGTTATTTCATTAGATCCTTTTGGTAACTCATGTTCTCCCCAGGTGTATAAAAAAGTGTTCCCTTTTAAAGGATCCTTGGAACTACCTTGGATAAAAGAAAAGTTATATAAATAAAACTGCCGGCTGTAGTCGTGATCAGGAAGTCTTAGAATAGCGAAATTTTTTTGACAGTCAAAGTTTATAGTGAACAATTAATTTTTCTTCAACAGGCAAAAAAAGTCTTCGCACGAAGCTTATGGGTCCCTTTTCCGTTAAAAATACAGTCTTTTTAGTTTTGTAGGTTTCTTTCTTTATTTTTCTTCTAATTCAAGACATTTTAAACACATATTCGTTTATGGTGTTCCAAACCCAATATAAAAAAAGTTACAAAACCTTACAGAAATACTGCTTTTCGTACCTTCTCAACATTTTTGAAACGGAGAGATCACTACTGACATAGTGCCTTCGACTTCGTTCAATGCAGTAATGGAATTCTGTGCATTTGAATTGCTTAATAAATGTTTTTATAACAGCGCATTTTGAAGTAAACTTTGCAGTTGTTCTATCACCGCCCCTCTTTTATTGTAATCTTATCCTCAAGGATGTAACGTCATGCCACTCCTTCTACCCTGTGTTTAGTATGTTGCAATAGTAGTTTAGTAATGTTGGACGCCAGACATGCTTTTAGTTTTTTCCTTAATATCCGAAATCAAGAAAGATAAGGAAAACGATTTTCCTGTCCTGCTGTTATCGACTGGTCTTCTTCGTCTGGTTAAATTCACCTCAATATGTTTTAGTATAAAATCTTGTTCTAGTTTTTCCGGGGTACTGTAGTATCGCCTATGGAAATCCAAAATAATTTCTTTACTGATTGTTGAGCATCTGAAGCACTTTGACAATATCTGCAAATAAATATTTGAAAAAATAAA